TGTCCTCCAGCCAACCTGCATCTTCTCTGTATGTCAGGAGGACAGGAAGCCTGGGGAGGGCTGCTGGGGTGGAGGTGGAGATGGCTGGATAGAAGAGGGGGAGCTTTTATTGCCTTATATTACTGCCTTATATATTGCCATCCCCAGAGTGAGGCCAGTTGCCCCTCTGAGGGACAGCTGGAGGACAGTATCCTCCACCCATGAGTAGGAAGTTGCTGGGTTCTTTAATAGTTTCATTTACTGTTAAGCCAGCCACCAGGTGTCCTATATTAAAATGCTAAGTAGCCACCAAACAAAAACATCCCTCCATAGCTCATATATTTCTGTGTATCCATCTTGATCTTGTATTTGACCTATAGTAAAATTTCCAGGTGTTTTAACCACACTGTCATGGTTTATTATTTATGTTGGGATGTGGGAGTAGGTTTCTGTGCAGAACCTAATGGAAACAGAAAGTTATTAGGGATGTGTGTGTGTGTGTGTGTGTGTGTGTGTGTTTTCTGGAAGAGGCTTGGTGTCTCAGTACTCTAAATTTGAAAATGAAAGTAGTCTGGAGCAGAGCTACAGGCATCTCCAGCCAGTGCTGAAGTGCTGGCCCACAAGAGTCTTGCAGCCTGTGGTGGACTTCACTTTCCTCAGCGTCTGCTGCTATGTGGAGAGCCTTACCACAACTTTCTCTCTCAGGTTGCTGGAGAGGTGGGGCATGGGAGGGGTTATATGGGAAGGATGGGCAAATAACCAGGGCAGGAGGGCCTTGTTCTCAGGGAGCAAGCCATGTGAAATAGTCCAACTCTGGCCTCTATCCAGGGGTCCAGAATAGAGGGGTGAGTATGGAGTGGCCCCAAGACGTATGGGATGAGAAGAGAGGCTAATCTTCCAAAGATTTAAGACTGACAGCATGAATGAATGGGTCTCGTGGGCCAGGAGCTAGAAGGAATTAAACCAGATAATCTGGAAACTTTCTTTTACTTTGACATTCTAAAACTCTGTTTCTGGACTTCATATTTTATAGAGAACATCAACTCTCTTCACCCTCTTCCCCTTAGTTACATTAGGGAAGGTGTATAAAACACTATGAGGGGTGATTTCTTGGGGATCTCCCTGGCTAGTCCATGACTGATGTCCCTGTAGTTGGCCTGGAGGAAGACCTGGGAGTGGTCACTGAACCTGCTCGGGCACTTGACAGGTCTCTCCCAGATATTCAGGGAGAAAATGGTGAAGAGAAAATGGGAAAGGAAGTTTCCCCAGTTTGAGAAGGAGACTGTAGCATGTAAACCTGGGCATCGCTCTGTTGCTTTGACAAAAAACAATGGATGTCACTTAGGAGCTGGCTATGCTGACCCAGCCACATTCCTGCTCTCTGCATCCCCTGGGCACAATTTCTTGTTTCCTTTATCATCCCCCAAGTATTAAAAGGCCCAGAGAGCACCAGCCTTCCCATAAAGCTCCATTCCCAATCCCCTCCCTGGAATTCCTTTATCTGTTGTTGATAGTTGGAGACATGTGTACGCCCAGCCCTTCCTGGAGCTGCTGGGTGCTAGTGCTGGAGCTGGGTCTCTAGGAGCCTGCAGGGCAGGGCTTGCAGGACATCGTCATCAAGTGGCCACGTGCTTGGTGGTACTGGCTGCTGCATAGAGGGAAGAGTGGCAAAGAGGGGGCATAGGAGAGTAGTCAGCTATACCTTGGGGTGGGGGGGGACATTTGGGGAAGGGGGGTAGAGTCTGCCCACAGTTCCACCTCATTGAACTGGCTCTTGAAGCTTGACAGGCAGGAAAGTGTGTAACAAACAGGGCTGGCAGTGACCCAGGGGACATTTGATTAGAAAGCAGAGTGGAGGAACCATTGAGGGATTAGGCCGGGTCTGGGTTTAGACTTGTTTTGGGGACGCTGGGGGCTCTGGATCAGAGGGAATGAGAATGGAAGCACGCAGGTAGCTGCTGTGGGGGAGACGGCGTGACTCAACTCAGACAATGGCTGCCTACGTGATGGGGACTGTGGGTGGTCTCGGGCTTTTGGTTGCAAAGGTCAGGACCTAGAAGGCAGTGGGTTCGCTGGCTTCTATCTGAGATAATCTCCCTTCTCTCTAAAGCACTCCCTTTAGTCTTTCTTGAGCAGATTCTCTGATGGCTTATTTTCCTGATTTGTCTTTGTCTGGAAAAGTCTTTGAAGGCTATGTTGTCTAGGCTTATCAGTCTGGCGTGGCATTATATTTACTTTCAGCACCTTCACTATATCCTATATGTCTTAGAATTTCCATTGTTTTAGTTGGTAAGTTGTCAGTTTTAGTTTCTCATTTGAAGGTTGGATGTGTTTATCTAATTTGAGAGTCTTGTTTGTTTAGTAGTTTGATAGTGATTTGGTTAGGTATGTTTTTCTTTGGAGTTCACAGTGTTTCTTTATGGTCAGGCATTTTTCATCAATGTTGTAACATTTTCAGCCGGCATCTCTTTAAATATTGTTTCTGGGACTGTACAAATGTTAGATCTTTTCACTGTGTTCCATATGTTTCATAAGAATATTCCATATTCTTAGGCTCTTTTTTGTATTTTCCACTGTTTTTTCTCTGGATTTTTTTTTTGATCTATCTTGCAATTCACTAATCCTTTAACTGTATCTAAATTACTGTTGAACCCATTTACCGAGTTCTTAATTTTGGTTATATTTTCAGTTATGGAATTTCTGTTTGATTAATTCTTACATTTTTAGATTCTTAGCTAAAGTTCACCTTGTGGTCTAGCTCCCTGAACTTTTCTTAAGTTCAGTAATTTCACATTTCATTTGTGATCATATAATATAGGGATCTCCTGTAAAGTATATTTCTGTTGTCTGTATTTTTTCATGACTATAATTGAATCCTGGATATTGTATATTAAAAGTCCTGGAGAAAATTTGAAGTTTTTGGATAGCTTATTCTCCTCCAGAGAGAATTCATTGCAACTGCTGGCAGGCAGCTCACATAGGAGTGCCTTAACCAACCCTTTGGGATTGATGAAGACAGAGGCTTCCTCTCACCAGTTGCCCCTTCTGCCATAGGGCAGGCCAGTCAACACCTGTGCCCATACAAAGCTGTGTTTTACCTCAGTTCATTCCCTGCTCTGAGGATGGGAGTCATAGGGCAGCGGTTTACCAGAACCCTGCTCCTTGGCTGCTTTCAATTTGTGTCTCTTTAGCCCCACGAGATTTCAACAAGCCCTACTTGAAAATACACAAATGTTTTAAGGGAGAAAAGGTGTCAGGCTCATCGGTCCCAATTCTCTCTGATTTCAGCCTCTCAAAACCTCATTGCCTCATGGCCAACAAAATAGATTTTTAAAACTGTATCTCTTGTCTTTGTGGGTTTTTTTGTTTGTTTGTTTGTTTCTTAAGTTGTTTTGGGGGTGGAGGAGTATGGGATAATCGTTGGTCTGGTGTTGGTAAGACAAAGCCTGGGAGCAGAACCCAGTGCCCCATGACCTCACCCAAAGACTCTTGCCCTTTGGTGGTGAGGGAACTGTGGTGGGAGGGGGAGTTAATTGGGCATTGGTGAGGGGCAGTCTCCTCTTAGGCTCAGGGGAGGACATGACCCTGGCTTCACAGGGCTGGACACACCCCAGAATAGCTTCCTTATTTATGGATGTAGAAACTGAGGCCCAAAGTGGGACAGTTCCTCAGTGATGTACTTGGGTGTTCTTGACTGCCTGACTAGTGCTCAGCTCTGGGAGGGGCCAAGGGACAGTGGGTAGCAGGGCTGCTGGGGGTGCTGTTCCCAGCCCATGCTGCTTTTTCCTCCTCATGCTGCTCTGGCCTCTCCCTGTCCCCTGCTGTGTCCTCTCATTCTGCTTCTAAAAGCTGGGCAGCTGCAAGGGCTGACGTGGTGGGTACTTGTCACTATGAGTACTGGGTATAGTTTCAACAGACTTTCCTCTCCTACTGATTGTCGCAGAATCCTGAGTCTGTTTCTGAGAGTGATAATTTTTTTTTTCTCACTAGTCCTTGCAGTTTTCATCCCACACCCTGTTTCTCTTCTGCTTTTCTCCCTATACCTTCTTGTGAACAAAAGTCAGTGCACCAAATCACACCCCACTTTCTCTCTCGGTGGCTCCGTGATCTGCTGATTACTGGCAGGCCTGAAATAAGCCATTAGGGAGAGGCAGGCAGGGTATGTGTCCCTATATCTTACAGGAGGCAGACCCTAGGCCTCTGCAGTTGGTTTTCTCCACACAGGCCATGCTGGGCACTGGGGGGAGCTGTGGGCTCAGAGTCCTGGACAGTGGGGAAGGAGATGGTATGTGAGCTGGGGGCAGGGGACATGTGGAAGTTAAGACAGCTGCCACTTGTTCGCTGTGTGGTCACAGACACCTGCCACTCACCTGTTAATAAGCTTGTCTGCCCAGGGGCTAGGAAGTCAGCAACACTTATGCCGGGCACAGAGGGTTTGGTAGATGACTGCCTGTGGGAAACTTCCTGTTGTGAAAATGTTCTCTGTCCTGGAGGCCCAGGCTTCTGAGGGGCCAGCAAACCTTGGACAGGTCTCAGGAGAGATAGCAGGCTGAGAAGAAGGCAGGCTTGAGGCACATTGGCTTTCTCCTTTAGGAGGAACTTGGCCCAGGAGTTCTCGCCCTGGCTTGGAATTGCATTTTGCTTGGTCTCAGGTGCTACAGGCATTGCTGTGTGACCTTACAGAATAGTCTGTCTGATTCTGAGTTTCCTTAACTGTCAAATGGAGGTATCCCAGGAGAGGTGTCCAATGAATGCTCCCTGGGCATCCCTGGTCTGCTCTGGAGAAGGACTGACAATGCAAGTGGGACCTTGGGAGAACAGCCAGTGCTGAGGCAGCCAGGGGCTGAGACTGAAGGTGGGGGAGAGGTTGACTGGCCCAATGATGCTTCTGTTCCCTCTTCACTTGGCCATCTCCAGAGACATCAGAGGAAGATTAGGAAGTATGTGATGTTTTCACAGTCTCACCTGCCAGTGTGGCACACACTCCACTTCATTTCTGCTTGTTCTCTCTGCTCCCACAGGGAACTTAGGTTGAGAAACTATGTCCCAGAGGATGAGGACCTGAAGAGAAGGAGGGTGCCCCAGGCGAAACCAGTTGCAGGTAGGTGGGCTGTGTTTCTCTGCCTCTGCTCTGAGGGCACTGCCAGTTGCTTCTACTTGGCAGGTGTCACCCACTCTCGGAGAATAACTAACAGTGCTGGAGCTGGGAGTTGGGCCTCCAGGACCATCTCAGGGTCTGCCATGCCTGGTCTGCCCTGTTTACACCCTGATTTGGAGGTCTCCCAGGGACTTCCTGCAAGGGAAAAGGCCACATTTCTTCAAAAGACTGCTCTGGGCTGGATGTGGAAGTGACCTTAGGGCCAGTGGGCAGCAGGACAGAGCTATGGGTCCTGTGTGCCTTTGGAAGATCAGCGTGAAAGACCCTAATAAAGACTCAAATTCCAGTGCTCAGAGAGCAGTGGGCAGGCAGATGCCCAGCAGGGTGGAAGCCTGGAAGTGCCTGAACGCAGAGAAGGGGGAGAGAGGTGCTCTTGCCGGTGGAGTGAGGGTTCCTGTCCATGCTCACCGTGATGTGAGGAGCAGTGCAGCAGCCAGGAGCCTCTGACTAGCTGTGGCCTGTCCACAGACAGCCGTCCATACCAGAGATAGGGTGTTTTATCACACAGACTTCTGGCCCTTGTGCTTCTGCTTTTTTTCTTTTTGCCCTCAAGTTTTAACTATACGAGCAATATATGAATAAATACATTTAGCTCATAAAAGAATAAAGTGTTAGCCACGGAACCATACCCCAGCCTGCTTTTCCATCTTCTTTGCCCCTGAGAATTACACTTTCCGGGTGATTTGCTTTGTGGTTTGGGCGCCATTACAGTCAGAGCAGTAAGGCAGGGCCGAGAAGGATGGGGAGCTGGTCCCATGTCTTGCCAGGATCAGCGCTTGAGGCTGAGGGAGGTGAGGCATGAGGGAACAAGGGCCAACTGTGGTGGGGTTGGAGAAAGCTCACAGACCCTAGGTTTGTTGTTAGTGCTTTGGCATTTGCTGCCCCTGGGGTCCCATTGTAATAGTAGCTGTGTGGAGATGGGAGGTGCCTGAGGGTGGCCTCCTCTAGGTGATCAGCACCCTAGTTTTAGGGGCACACACCTGGAGATTGGGATTAAAAGAAAAGCCACCTGTGCCCTGCCCAGTCCAGGGTCCGAGAATGTCCCCCCTCAGGAGCCATGGGAGTTGGATAAGCCAGTTCTCAAGGCCCTTCACAAGAATGTGCTTTGGCTGTGCCCAGGCAGCCCTCTCATTCACACCTGGGAGACTGAAGGTAGCATCCGTGCTTCCTGACTGGAGGTCTAAGTCTCTGGCTGTCTGCCTCCTGCTGGCTCTCCCCCAGCATTGCCTTCTTCCTGGGAAACCCAAGTCCTTCCTCCAGAGCTGCCTTTGCAGGGTCTTCATCTCAGACTGGTTGGGGGCCCCGGGGATAAGAGGGACAAGAAAGCCCAGGGTCCCTCCAGACCTGCCTGCATCCTCCCTTCACCTGTGGCTGCCGCGTGCAATGGTCTCCATTGTTGTCTTGCACCCTCTAGTGGAAGAAAAGGTGAAGGAACAGCTGGAAGCTGCCAAGCCAGAGCCCGTCATTGAAGAAGTGGTGAGTGCCTGTGCGCCCCTTCTCCCGTCCTGCTTCTGTGGGTTCTTTCCTCCTTCCCTATCGTCTCTCCTCTGCCCTCCCTTTTTCTCTTCCCTTCTTTATTCCCTTCCCACCTCCCTGTTTCCCCCTCATCCCATCCTTCTTCCTGCCTTTCCTCCTATTTTCCTACCTCTGTGTCCCATCTCTTCCCTTGCGACTGGGCCCCTCTGGCCCTGACATATGTCTCCTGCCTCCCCAGGACCTGGCCAACCTCGCGCCCCGCAAGCCTGATTGGTGAGTATTGCCCATGGAGCACTAGTGCAGACCGAAAGGGCTGCACAGGCCTTGGGCTGGCCCTTTGCCACCCTGACACTGGGGAGGTGGACAGTATAGACATTTAGTTACATAAGATAATTAGTGTCTGAAATCAGCATGAGCAGGACATACATAGAAAATGAGAGGAAAGTGATATAGATGACACCTGGAGGGTAGAAAGGGGCCCCCCATGGGAAGGAGTTCAGCCAGAGTGGGGAGCTGCCAATTCCTCAGGAAGTCCCTTCTGAAAGGACCTGTCCCCCTTCAGGGCCACAGGTGGAGGTGAGATGGTGGGAAGGGAAGGGTCTGTCCCAGTTCTGCCATAGACCAGCCTTTTCCTCTTTGGCCTTAATCCTTCTGTGAAATGGGAGGTATTCATCTTTCCCTGGCACCCTGTGACTAGGCTGAGAAGAGGGTGAGAGAGCGCTATATGGCCTGAGAGGTTTGCATTCCACTTCACTTTGGGCCAGAGGTACAGGCTGGATCCATCTTGCCTGCAATTCTGTGTCAAGTACAGCATCAGTTGAGCTGTTCTCACTTGATGAAACAAAAGCCTGGGGGTATATGTCCTAGGAAACTTGAATTAGGGAGTATGAATGCTTCTGGAAGCTCCTGGTGGTGGGGGTGAACGTGTGGCCAGATGAGGAGCAGGATCCACAGTGGGGTGGGACTAGCCATGCCCTGAGAGTGACCAGGGACTAGACCAAGAGGGGGCCCCTTAGCAGCCATCTATCGTTGCACACCTTGGCTGAATTCCCGTGTTGGGTCAGTCTGTGGTGCTTGTCCCTGGCCCACTGGACCTGGGCGGGATGGTTGTTGCTGGGTTGTGGAGGATGGAGAAAGGGAGAGGGGCAGCATCCTGGCCTCTCCCTAGGGTAGTCCTCATGGGCATGGTTCCTAATATTGGAGGGGCGGGGCTCCAAGGCCCAACCAGGCCAGCTTTCAGCCTCAGGCCACCTTATACCTCTCTGCTGCAGGGACCTCAAGAGAGATGTGGCCAAGAAGCTAGAGAAGCTAGAAAAGCGAACCCAGAGAGCCATTGCTGAGTTGATCCGTAAGTATGGGGCCTGGAAAGGCTGGATCTCTGCCCTTTGGGTGGTAGCCCAAGCACAGGACCCCTCTTCACCCTGCTCCTGTCTGCCACCCATCCAGGTGAGAGGCTGAAAGGCCAGGAGGACAGCCTGGCCTCTGCAGTGAATGCCACCACCGAACAAGAGACCTGCGACTCTGACTGAGGCATGTCCATCTCCCCACCTCGCTCCCCATCAGCCTGTCCTATGGGAGATGGTCTTGGAACATGGGGACAGGGCTTGCCATCCCTTCCAGTTTGGCTTCAAAGCAGTGACTCCCTGCCCTGTTAGCCTGAACCCCACATGGGGTGAATCAGCTCCTTGTCTCCTGACTGGTCCCGCCACCCAGAGTGGGAGCAAAGCTACCGGCAACCTGTGAGCTTGCTGTGTCTGTACATATGTATGTATCTTGAACTGTTTTTTATTCTCAAAATAGAGATAAGCAGACTGTGTATGGCAGAAATCTAGTAAATATTTCCTGGATCTTTGGGGGGTGTTGATTTGTGTTCCAAACTGGGTAGCTGCAAAGGTGATGCTTAAACAAGTAAGCTCTGTGTTGGACTGAGCGTGGTGAGACTTGGACAGGTGGGAACTACCCAGGCCCGATCTTCTGGGACCAGATTCTGGACCCGTCCTTAGTTAGTGATGATTTTCTCAAACTGCTGGGTGATAGAGACAAAGTTTGAGAGAGTTCTTGTAAGCCCTTGACAGGCTTAGGCCTTGCGGTAGTCCTTGGGACAGCCTGGAGAGGCTGCCACCCTAGACCTCTGTGAACCGCAACACAGTGTGAGAGAGGAGAAAGAGACAGCTCATGAAGAGAGTGAGCTGTGCCCTGGTAAACATCAGCTCTGGGCTGCTCCAGATGTGAAGCCTCTGTCACTGTTCTTACCCACTTGCCCGTCCCAGGCAGCCCCTCTTGCCACTTCACTAGTCAGAGCTAGATTATGGCTTCCCTGATACAGGGCCCTTCTGTGGGGGCAGGTGCCCCATTCTGCTGGAGACTGGGGTCTTACAGACTGAGTTTCAGGTGTGGTCTTCAACTGTGGTTCCCCCAGGTCCTGGCTTTAGGACCATTAACGTCTCTATGGAGCTGACTCTCCAGAGTGACTGGCCACATCTCTGACTCCACGTACCAGTGGCTAACTAGAATTTCATCTCCAGGGCTGTTCCTGTGAGTTTTCTCCAGGGTTTCTCCTTGAGCTTCCTACCCCTGTGCTGAGTCATCATAGTATGACAAGTTCCGGAAATACAGGGCTTAGCTTTGGTGGATGAGAACTCAGGTTACAGAGGTGTACGCACAGTCATGTAATAAAGAAATGCTTTATGTTTAAGTTAAAATTATGCAGAATTACCACAAGGTAATTCATGTCTGGACACTTGCCACTGTGATGAGGGCTAAAGTGGTTAAGTGATGGCTGCTGCGTGAGCAGTGCGACAAGGCCAGGACTCTGATTCCCACCAGGGACAGGGGTCAGGCAGTTGTCAGCACTGGAGTTAGGCTTTCCCTGCATAGCCAGAGGCTGGAAGCAGGCTTCCTTGCCAAGGAATAAAAGGGGAAACAATATCCTAACCACTCCTCACACCCCCAAGCTCCAAGATTGCATTTGGAAGCAGGATACTACTCTGTGACCGTGTGAGGACTCAGACTCCTGGTGACTGGCAGCGAGACTGTTACTCAGCACTCAGGACCAGAGTAAGGATGTCCTCATTTTGGGAGCACCCAGAGCTCCTGAGTCTACAGCCCCCTCTGTCCTAATGGAAAAAGTGCCCTGCAGGAAGGGAGAAAAACAAAAACTAGGGCCTCCCCTGGTGGCGCAGCAGTTGAGCACTGGGCTGCGAAGCTGTCCGCAGCCTCTGCAGCACCGGTTCGATCCCCGGCCACTGGCGAGGGCCCCACATGGCGCGCAGACCTCTCCTGCCGCCCGCTGCTCCCCTCAGCAGTGTACTTCGGTCCTTCTGCCTGCTCTGCTCCCCGCTCTGGCTCTGGTGAATTCTCTCACCCTCCCGCGCTTCTGACTATACCCAGTGCTTGTATAAATAAATAAATAAATCTAAAAAAAAAAATCAAACTACCACAGATGTGATGAGCACTCTAATAAAATGACAAAATACGTGAGACTATCTGGTGCCTTAACGAATGGCCAACAACGCAAAAGTGAGGGAATGGACACCCAAGGACACTGAAACAGGCTCTGAAGTATTTGTTTTATCACCAGAGAGATTAAAAAACAGGACTTCCCATAATTCAAGAACAGGGATTAGATATAGAAAGTACTGATTAGAAATCTTGGAAACAAATATAATATGTTTATTAAAATAAGAAACTCACTAGAAGAACTAATGATAATTTATAGTCAAAGAAGGGATTAATAAATTGAAAGCTTATTAAGGTAAGATTAGTACATTGGAATTGAAGTTCAAGAAGTGAAAAAAGGTGACAGAGAAAGACAAAGAAGGAGGGCTAGAAAGGAGAATGAGAGCTTTGACATGCTGATAGAAGTCCCTGAGCTGAGGGAGTTTGAAGAAAGAAGAGAAAGGAGGGCCTTGCGGAAGGAGTGCTGACCACTTCTCTTTCTGGCATTTAGATAGAGTAGTTGCCTGAGCTGATCCTCCCTTTGCAAACAACTAAAAATACTAGTCAGATAAATAATGACAACAAATCATTTTTAAAATGCATCCGCGAGCTGTCGAGAAAATAAGGAATACTCAGACAAAAAGGTAAGAGGCAGCAGAATGCTTACGCCTGACTTTTGCTGTGAGGGTATTTGACAAACCAGGTGAAATTGGCATTGGTGCTCAGTGCCCGGGGCTAAGACAATCCAATGCCTATGTCTAATATGGGGCCTAGTAGGAGAACCTTCCATAAAGCTGGGGCCCCAAAGGGCAGCACCTCTGTAAACTAGTAATAAATCTGCTCTCTTGGCATCACAGAAGAAATATGAACCTTGTCACCTACCGGAGTGTAAAAAGATCTCCCTTGAGATCCGAGCCAGCCTTCATGTGGGTTTGCACAGGAGAAAGCCAAGCCAAGAATTTAAAGTGGTCCCAGAATGGTGATGATGTGAGACACTTGATACAAGTAGCTGCAGCATCTACTTGGAAGAACCTTTATTAATCTCAGTCCTTAAAGGCACCCCCCCCCCTCAAGTTCAAGAAAAATGAACACTTTATAAAGAAAGAAGTTCATCACATATCATTAGGCAGCAAAGCAGCCAGAGCAAAGTCAAAAAGAACATGATAGAATCAACCTTACAACACTTCAGACATCAGAATTATGAGTCAGTAATTTAAATGTTTAGAAATGATTTATAAACTAAAAGAGAGCCTGGAACATAGGAGTAGATTTGCGAAAGAACCAGTGATGGTCTGGAAATTAAAAAAAACAAATCATAACAATTTAAAACCTTGTATCTGTGAAATCTACTCAGTTAGTGAATGGGAAGCAAATATAGAACAGGAGGCTAAGATATGTGAGAAGATCCAACACAGAATGTGACTGGCATTCCAGGAGGGAAAAAAAGCAAAAAGAGGGCAGAGGTAGTTTTTTCAGATGAACGAGAACTTTTCAAGACTTAAAAATCACTAATCCACAGATTCAAGAAGGTCTGCAAATCTGAAGCAAGGCAGTAAAAGAAACCTTCATTCAGATGGACTGTCCCTCAGCTGGGTGCTGATACTCTTGGAGGACTCATTGAATGTACACACATGATTTGTGCACTTTCTACATGTTTATCACAGCTCAGTAATAAGCAAGGTTGCTTGAAAAATTGTCATGCTCTGTATTAATCATCCACTGCTGCCTACAAATTACCCTAAAACGCAGTGGCTTACATTAACAAATCTTTATTATTTTCTTGAACATTTCTGTGGGTCAAGAATTCAGGAATGGTTAGTTGGGCAGTTCTGAGGCCTTGAGTGAGGTTGTTGTTTTGATGTCCACCAAGGCAGCAGTCATCTGAAGACTTCCCTGGGGGTGGAGAATGTACTTCCTGGCCTGCTTCCACGCAACACTCATAAGGAGGCTTACAGAAGCACAGCACACACATCCTTGCCTCACGTTTCTCCCCAGGAGCCCTGCCTGAGTGTTCTCATGACTTGGCGACGGCATTCCCCACAGTGAGTGATAAGAGAAGCAGCAGGAGGAAGCTTTAGGGCCTTTATGATCTGATCTTAGAGGTCCAACCCATCTGGTCCTACTTCTTGCAGGGAGATCTAAGATGTTTTGGACATATCTGAACACACTGTAATAAATTGGCAGAGCAAAAAGATCAAGAAAAGATCTTAAAATTAAGATCCCTTTCAGGGACCAAGTCAGGAACTCAGTCACAATTAGTATTAAGTGGAATGATGCCTGCTGGTATCAGCGTTACCTTGAAAGAAAGAAAATTGTCAACTTGATTCTATACCCAGAGAAAAGATCTTGCAAGTACAAGGTTTTTTTGACAAACAAAACCAGGAATTTTGTCACCAGCAGACTCACCAAAGGAAAATCCACTTGGGGATAAAGAAAATACTCTGAAATTGGTTGTGGTGGTGATCACACAAATTGTGAATACACAAAAAGCCATTGAATTGTACACTTGAAATGGATGAATTGTATGGGACATGAGTTGTTATTTCAAAGCTGTTTTTTAAAAAAGCTGTTTTTCTCCTTTAAAAAAAAAATTGAGAAGGATGTTTTTAGATTGAAGGGACATGATCCCAGATGAAAGATCTGAGATATAAGAAGGAATGAAGGAAAAAAGTAAATTTAAATAGGCATTGATCTTATAAGATAAAGGTACTTGTGGAGTAAAAGTAAAATATGAGTGTAGGATAAGTGAATTAATCAGGCCTTTAGTGCCACTAGCTTCTGTGGCTATCACTTGCAGCCTTGATCGAGTTAAGCGGAAGGCACTTGGGAGCATGGGCGCAGGGCAGTTGTGGACACCTGGAGCATGAGTGCGTGGGCAGGTGTCAGTGTGCACACCTGAGCACACTGGAGATCTGAGCTTAAACGGAGGGATTGCTCAGAGACGGGACGATTATAAGAGGACAAGCTGCATGACTGCAGAGGGGAGAACATGCAAGAATGCCAGGGATAGGCCAGAGGAAGCATAAAGATTCGTTGGGGGCGGTGGGCTCTGGGAAGCTTGGTTGCCTCCTGAGTCTCTGTGCCCCACGACAGTGAGCCACTTTGAATACATAACAACAATAGTATGTAAATCCAGCGGCCAGAGGTGATTGAAATTACAGCCTATGAAACTCTCAGGAAGAGAGAAAAGACTCCAACTGGGACTGGTTTACAGACAGGCTGACATTTCTAGGGTAACTCTGAAAGAATAGCAACAGTGCATAATATTAATTACAACTAATGAACTAGGCTGCTTTTTAAAAAAACTCATTCTAATGCCATGTGACAAAGAAACCTAAAGTAAGCAGAAAGATTGCTTTAATAAATAAAAGGAAAAGCTCCATTCAGCACAGAAAGCTGAGGTAGGTGGATAGTGTCAGACAAGGGAGTCTTGCAGACGCAGTTATCAGCTGCTCTGGTTTGCAGTGGAGCTGACCTCTCACCTGCTGCGTGAGAGTAGTAAAGGGTAAGAAACTAGAAAAGTTGAATACGCCCCTCTCCTCTGAGCAGCAGGTGACCTGCAAGTGTCCTGGTTGTATGCTGCATGTGTGTATCAGGAGACAGGACAGGAATGCTTGTCAGAAGCATCGTTCATAACAGCACGCACACTCAGTGACAGATGCAATAGTAAGTTGTGTTTCTTGCAGTGAAATGAGCTATCACCACAAGCAAGACGATGGCTAGATCTTAAAGATGCAAGTCTTGGAAGAAATGGAGTATGCACTGTTCTTATGGCGGCATCTGAGGATCCCTGACACACGTGGCTGATAAAGCCAGGCTTGCCGCAGGCTCTGAGAAAGGGCCCGTTGAGGCTCCATTGATGGGTTTCATTTTATTCTCTAGCTTTGCATTTTATATACCTTGTATGGTGTTTATGTTATATTTCACACACAATTTTTTTATAAAGAGAGAAAATTCATTACCCAAATTACTCAATAAATGTGAAGTGGAATTTTTTACATGGCCACGACAATGATCTAGATTAGCAAGTTTAGAGCTACACGTGGGTGAGGGGGCATGCTGGGAATGAGTTCATTTCTGTCAGCAGTAGATAACTAGGAGACTAATTTTTCCTAAGTGCTTAGGAAACAAATGTCAGTCTGTTCAGTTGTAAATAAGGGCAAGATGGATATTTTCATGCTTGTGACACTTTGTGTTTACTGCACACTGATATTTTCTGAAAGACCTACTGGAGAATGTACGGCAGCAGGAGGGACTGGGTCGGGGCAGGGAGAGGAGTGTGGGAGTCAGGACTACCTCTGGCTACATTCACAAACACGCAGGGGTTTATGTTCTTGGCTTAAGTCTGAGGTGGTACAGTGACTCCTCAAGGCACCAGGGACACAAGTCCCTTCTGTCTAGCCAGCTGAAGAAACCGTGACTTCAAGCCCAGTCCACCAGGCTCACCTTCACGTCTTATCAGCCATAACTGACTGCAGATATTCGGCGAATAATGGTATTTTAAACTGGGCATGTTGCCACCATAATAGAATTTGAAGTTCCAGATAAAGGAAGAAGGTAGAATGCGTACTGGGAAGGCAGCCAGCAAGCAGTGCTGACATAGGATGCAGGAAGAAATGAGCAAAGAAACTGGTCAACTTTGGGCAAGTTGATAAACTGACTAACCTCTGGCAAGACTGACAAACATGCAAGTTCGGAATGTTAGGATTGAAATAAGGCTATCACTACAGACCCCACAGATGACAAAAGGACAGAAAGGGGCTTTTATAAAGAACTAGTCACAACAAATTGGTAAATGGGCCAGTTTCTTGAAAAGCATAAACTACCATAACTCACCCAAGATGAAATAAATATCTGCATAGCTCTGTAGCTGTTAAGGATAGTGAATTTGTAATTTAAAAAACCCTGAGAAATCTCCAAGCCTGGATGGTTTTATTGACGAATTGATACAGCAGTGTAATTTAGTTCTTATCAAAGTCCCAATGAGATCTTTATCTAGAGGTAGGCAAAGTTATTCTGAATTGTGTCTAGAAAGAAAAAAAATAGGGTTGTTTCAGCAAGGTTTTTTTTTTCCTTTTTTTTTTTTTTTAAGAATTATTTATGCATACAAGAACTGGGGTATAGGCCAGAGATGTAGGGGGTGAGAGGATTCACCAGAGACAGAGTGGGGAGCAGAACAGGTAGACTGACTGAAATACACTGCTGAGGGGAGCAGCGGGCAAGTCAGGAGAGGTCTGCTGCGCCATGTGGCTAGCTCCCTGGCCGGCCAGGGATTGAACTTGTGCTGCAGTGGCTGCTGATTGCTTCATAGGTTGTGTCTTTACCCCTTGCGCCACCAGGGAGGCCCCGTTTCAGCAAGTTTTTTAACTACAAGAATAAAACAGGACTCTACCTATTTCAACACTTCTGCAGCTACTGTAATCGGATGGAAAGATGAGCCCGCAGTTCAATGGAGGTGAATAGAGGACTCAGAGGTGGCTCCCTGCAAGTTTGGCCAACTAATGTTTGATAAAGGTACAAAACGAACTCAATGAAGGAGGGATAGTCTTCAGCAAAGGGTGCTTGCATAATTGGATATTTGTAAACGAAGTAAAGAACCCCAACCTAACTTCAGACTTTCTACAGAAATTAAAGTGAGTCATAAATTTATTTATTAAGATTTTATTTATACAAGAAGCGGGGTATGGGTCAGATATATGGGAGGGTGAGAGGATTCACTAGAGACAGAGTGGGGAACAGAACAGGCAGACTGACGAAATACACTGCTGAGGGGAGCAGTGGGAGAGACAGGAGAGGTCTGCGGCGCCATGTGGGATTCTCACCGGCCAGCCGGGATCAAACTGGTGCTGTAGAGGCTGTGGACAGCGTCACAGTGCGGCACTCAACTGCCTGTGCCACCAGGGAGGCCCTGAGTCATAAATTTAAAATGTAAAACTTATTTAGGAGAAAACCTTCAGGACTTAGAGCTTTGTGAGCAGTTCTTAGAAATGAGAGCAAAAGCATAATATGTAAAGAAAAAAATTGATAAAATTGACTTAGCTAAATGAAACACTGCTGCTCTGACAAGATCCTGTTAAGAGAGTGGAAAACAAGCTATAGACTGAAAATACTTGCAAACCCCTTGTCTAGAATAGAGAACCCTCAACAGGTGACAAAATACAATTAGAAAATGGACAGAAGACACGGAGACACTGCGAAAAGGAGATGTAAATGGCAAACAGGTGAAAGATGTTCAATATCAGCAGGAAATTAAGGCTATGATGTGAGGTCATTACACACCTATTGGGACAGCTAAAATAAAGTGTTACTACCAAATACAAGCGTGTGGGGAAGCTGACTTGTAGAGGCATACCTCATTTCATTGCACTTTGCTTTATGACACTGCAGACGGTGTTTTTCACAAATTGAAGGTTTATGGCAATCCTGTGTCCATCAAGTCCATAGGCACCATTTCCAGACAGCATGTGCTCGCTCACTTCCTGTCTTTGTCACAGGTACGGTATTACATTGTGTTTTTAGATAAGCTGTTGTGTATTTAATGGAGTATGATAGAGTGTAGACATAACCCTTGCATGCACTGGAAAGCCAAAAAGTTCATGTGGCTCACTTTATTGCAGTATTCACTTTATCACAGTGGTCTGGAGCCATACCCTAAATATCTCCAAGGTGTGCCTTTCCATTGTTGATGGGAATATAAATGGTCCAGTCACTGTTGAAAATAGTTGGGTAGTTTCTTAAGAAACTGGGTTACCATATAACCCAGCAGCCAATCTCCTGGATGTTGATTCCAGAGAAATAGAAACTTTCTACATAAAAGCCTGTACACAAATGTTCATAGCAGCTTTATTTATAATCACCAAAAGCTAGAAATAAACAATGCTGCATGCACTATTGCTTAATGAATGCCACATAATTTGAATTTGTTGTTCAGGACACATTGGTTTAAAAAATAAGTGCAGATCTTCATCTTAATGGAGGTTACCCAGTGAGATGATCTAGGTCTTTCCCTTCTTTTGGTTTGGGATTAAAATATTACAGGAAAATTGATGAAATAAGTATGTTGTCAGTAATTACAGTAGTACATCTCTGACACATTGGCATGTGATCTACAATGGCATTGGTGAACATTTTACACTTAGTATAACCTTTTAAAATAGTAAATGTTTTTATCGGTGAAAAAGGCCAGTCAACTTACAAAACAGGTGACTGTTTAAATTGGTACGTCCAAATCAAGGCCTAGTACTCAGCAATAAAACAGAACTAACTTGATACAAACAATGGCTTGGGTGGCTCTCGGGGGCATTAAGCTGAGTGAAAAAACATTGAAAGGTCCTGTATTGTATGATTCCCTAGCTTTAACATTCTTGAAATGACAAAATCATAGAAAATAGATTAGTAGTTGCCAATGGTTAGGAACGGTCGGGGCAAATACATAATGGGATAACTTGAAGGAGATCTTTGTGGTGTATAATAGCTCTTGATTGCAGTGGTGATTACATGAATCCACACGTGATCAAATGGAATGAACACACGCACATACCCACATTGTGCCAATGCCCGATTCCTGGTTGTGGTGTTGGATTATTATTGTGGAAGATGGGACCCTTGGGGGAGACTGGGAAGTGGCCCTCAGTTCTGCTCTGTACTATCTCAACTTCAGAGAATATGTATTTTAGAATATAAAGTTTGGAAAATGTTTTCAGATGTGAGCGAAGAAACTGGTAAAACATGTTAAAGTGATTTAAAAAAAAAAAGATTTTTGACCACAGTCTGGTGGAAGATTGGATGGGGGTAGTTTGGTGGCAAGGAGTCCTGGCTTGGGTTGGAGGGACAAGTGGGGTTTATCAGGCCCCAGCAGTCCCAGTGCTGAGGAGATGGGCAGTTGAGTGGCGGTGCCCAGCTCTGTGGAGCCCTAGTATGCCCACCACTGCACCTTTATTATCTGAGACAGCCCTGACTGGTCCTCCCATGATTGAAATCCTCAAAGACTTCTGGCCTCCTGGTCAGCTCAAGAGAGTTGTGGAAACTGAGACGTTCTACAGTAGCATAGATGTCCCTTCCCAGCAGAGGCCAGGAGGCCAGGACCTACTAGCCCAGAGACCCAGGCTGGGGTACTGGGAGGAAGTCATTCCTAGGATAGGCCCCCAGAGGCCAGGTGGACACTGGGGCTGGTGCAGACTGTTCCACAGTGGAGAATGGTGTGCTTGGGGTCAGAGAGGCACAGCCCCTAAAGTTATAGGGGAAAACCACTGCCCAGCCCAGAGGCTGTAGGCTGAATGTGCAAAGGAAGCCAGATTGCACAGTCTAGTCTGTTGGACTGCCTGTCCAGCTTCCAGTGCTGGACATCCTCCTGCAGTCCCCTGTCAGGGTTCCATGCTGCTGCTCACCACCTTTTCGGCTCTAGTGTGTGAGGTGCCCACTGACCTTCAGGTGGCCTCTCTTGTGCTCTGAACTGCATCCAGAGCCTGCCGCAGCGCTGCCCACCCCTATGGAGCTAAGGATTCAGGCACTCATTCATCCTGTTTCCTGAGTACCCACCTTGTGCCGGGCACTGCTCCAGGGGCCGATGGTGTAGCTGTGAATTCAGTGACGTACTCCTCTCCTGGAACTGACCTTCCACGTGGTCTCGAGATGTGTGCTGGGAGCCAAGCCCCTTCCCTCAGACCATGTGAAAGACCTCACTTGCCCCAGAACTGTCTGGCTGGGCATTACAGCGGAGCATAGTGAGGGGATCTGGGACCTCAGCGGAGTGGCCACATGGGTGAGAATCTCAGCGCAGCCAAGGCCTTTATTTCCCCCACTTCACTCACACAGCCACTGGGGGGCAGCAGGAGATACTGATGGGGCCCCTGAAGGGTCAGCAGGCCTGCTGGTAACAGGACAGGTTTTCTGTAAGGCACATCACTCACCAGATGATGCACCCTGGCCTTCCCGTGTGGCCTGTGTCATTTGTTGACTGATGTCAGAGTTGATCATGAGTGTGGTTTCCTCAATTCCAACTCCAGAGCAGTGAAGGTCTGGGTTCAGCAGCCTCCCCTCTCGCACCCCACACTGGCTTCCCTCAGGTTCCAGGTGTAGGCACTCCAGGGTATGTGGACTCCAGGTGGAGGGTCTTGAGTGCCTTCTCCTCCCTGGGGCAGCACCAGCCCCACCAGATCACAGGAAGCCTGATCCCTCCCATGGGGGGCTGCACGTGTGTGAGCATGTGTGCATAGAATACCCACTATAGCCTGGCTGGGAAAGGGACCTCCCTGGAGGGTCAGCGCCCCTTAGCTCCTGGGCCAGGCCTCATGGGTCTGTCCTCAGCATATGTTGCTTGGAGCCAAGTTCCCACGATACCTATTGTTAATGCAGGGGCCTTAAAGGTAGTGTAGGGGGCTCCCCCACCCAGTGGGCCTGGATGGGCAGAAGTGGGCAGTGCATAGAGTGGAGATGGTATGTGTGCTAGGACCTAGGGCTTCCTTCCTGAGCTCAGGCCTCGCCTCAGGGCCTCTGGCAGCCATGGACCAGGCAGGGGTGTTAGGCTATTTCCTGAGCAGCCTGCTCCTTCTCTATTTACTGGTTTTCTTTAAATGTTCCCATTACTCAGGCCTCTGGTCGGGTCGGCACTGAGACAGAAATAAATCCCACAAGGCAGCCCAGCCAGAGACTGGGAATCTGATTCCCCCTCACAGGCCGGAAGAGGCCCCTGTGCAGGGCATGCCAGACCACGGTGGCCCACACACTCACAGAGCCACGAATGTGGCCATGCAGCCCCCATGCACACTTGTGCACATGTATGTACTTGCATATGTAACCTCCACACACACAGGCATCTAACATCCACATGTACCGCCAGTCAAATATGCCTCGCACTCATGCACTCAGTCCGTACACACACTCATGCGCACGCTCCCTGACAGCCAGGCTTACACTCAGTTGTGACCACACATTCTGGGGCCACAAACTGCCTTCCTTAAGGCACTGGTAGGTGAAACAAATGGTGAGACGGGCGGGTGAAGGGATGAGGTAGCCCCGGTGCAGCTCTGGAGGAGCTTGGCCTCATGGGAACACAGACCAAGGACTGCCAGGGCTTCTGAATTTTTAAGAGAAGCTGGAAAGCTGAATTTTTATGTGAAATATCCTGATTTTTAAATGTTGGCTCAAGATGTTGAAAATACTGTGTGGGCCAAACCAAACACATCTCCAGGCCAAATTCCACCCACAGGCGGCGTTCTCAGACCACGGGTCCACACAGACACACACACACACACACACACACACACACAAATAGACACAGACATACAAACAAATACAAATAGACACACTGGTACGCACACACACACACACAGTTATACATACAGTTACACACACAAATAGACCAAAAGACATATACAGATGCAAACATACCTGGATACACACAAACCATGGATACAGGTATACTTAGAAATGAAACCACATATACAGCTAGGCACGTATATGAAAACACATGTCCACAGATAAACAGACACAAATATACACGTGCAGATACACACCACACCACAGCTCTCTCACCCATGTAGGTGAGCTTGTTGGGGGCAGGTGGCCTGATACTATGGCCTCTGGGCAGGGTCACACCAAGGCTGTCCATGACTCATACAGGCTGGAACTGGGAAGCCTGCTGGGGCAGCAAGTCCCCAGGAGGGACAGGTTGTCCTGGGCTGACAGAGCACAGCATGGAAAGTGGAGAGGAGCAGGTGAAGGGCCTCATGCACCAGGCCTGGGAGGAGTCTAACTGGAGCCATAGACTCTGGGCTCTGAGGGAAGCTTGGGGTACCACAAGCCCAGCCTCCCCTTCTCCAGAACCCCCTCCTCCCAATCTGGCCTTGCCCCCTCCTCACAATTGGGAAGAAAAAGCAGGAGCTGTTTGACCATGTCCTCACCCCACTGTGGTTCTGTCTGAAGAGAACTGATTGAAAACCACAGGGCCTTCTAATCAGGAAGCCTTTGGGGAGATTGAGATTCACCCCCTACCCCCACCAACCCTGAGGACTCAAGGAGGGAGACCTAAACAATAGGTGCATAATTAATGCAGGAACATGAAGGGGCCCCACCACCCTTCCCTTTAACCACAGAGGGAAAGTGATGCTAGAAGTGGTGGTTGTAGGTCTAAACTCAGTCTTGGGTCTCCCAGACTGACCCATTTCCTACTAAGTCTTGCTGGGGTAGCTGGCCATCAGCCCTTGGATGAAAGGAGTCCCCACCCACCACCTGTTGGCCCCACTCTCTGCATGACAGTGATGCTGAAGGAGGGAACCTATCACTAGGAGGAGGAGGATGTACTGACCCCAAGACTGCCCAAGGGAAAGATAGGGACTCTGTTCAGGCAGCCAAAACCCAGTTTGAGGGCCCGCTGGGGAGCAGGGTACTGTATTGAGCCCATCCCGCCCTGGAGAATTGACTTCAAGGAGAAGCTGAGGCTGAGAGGGAAGGCTGCTTGCCTGGATCGCAGCACACGAAGCCAGTAAGGCCCAGATCCCTTTGTCTCTGGAGTCTCCTCTTCTGCGCTCAGGAGATGGCTCCTCTGCCTGTCACTGCTTGCTTCAGTTGCCCATAGTAGCCAGGAGTTGGCTGAGAAGGCATCAGGGATCTCCTGGACCCAACCCAGGCTGAATGCTGGAGATACACCGCAAGCCCCACATCCCCAAATCCCTCTGACTGGGTCCCCACAGCCAGACCTCTTCCAACGACCAAGGCAGAGCCAGGGCCCTCATAGATCCGCAGACAGTTCCTTGTCCCCTCACATAGCCTCAGAGTAGGGCTGTGACCTCTCAGACGCCAGGGCAGTGTCCTGTCCATTTTATGCTTCCAGAGAACTTGCCCTATGTTCTCTTTGGCCCCTCCACAGGTGAGGGCTCTCTGAGTGTGTGGGGCCATCTCTCCAGTGTGCTTGATCCCTAGACCCTGCTCTAAGCTGGGAGCTATGGACTCAGTCTCCTGTGAGGCCAAGCCTGTCTTCAAGGAACCCCTTGAACATTTCTTCTAAGGTCTTCAGAGCTCCTTCTCCCAGCCTGGGCTGTGGGAAAGAGCAGGCCTGTCCACAAGTCCAAAACAGCTGGGAGTTGTACCTGGCTACCTTATTGACCCAACTTGGAGTCCAGGGAGCCCATGAGATGCCCATACATGGCGGTCAAGGAGGCTGAGGAGTTGGGGTCTCTTGGTATCCTCCTTGCCTGCCTGCCCGCCTCCCTGCTCGGCTGGTGTTTACGTGTTCCCTGTGGCTTGGCTGGGCTGTGAGGTCTTGAAGGGAGAAGTGACCATCTGGCTCCAGCCCCTGCTCAAGGCAAACAGGGTCCTGACTGCCTGCCAGGCCTGCTGAGGGCTCCCACTTCCTCTGCCAACACCTGGATGGCCCAGGCATAGCTCAGGGGCCTCTCTGAGTTGGGGGTGGGGTAGGGGAGACAGCCATGTGAGGCCAGGAGCTCCAAGTCTGAATGGGGAGACCTGGCCCCGGCCTAGAGTCTAGACTGATGGAAGAGGTCTTTCCTGGACCTGTAGTTTGGAGGGAGAAATGATACCCAGTCTCAAGAGGGAGGGTATCTGTCTTGGGTGCAAATATCCTGAGAGAGGACCAGCTGAGATGGCATATAGTTGGATCTGGGAGGTCTCGCCCTGGACTGGACACTCCAAACCTGAGGTAGGGAGCACCCAGCATGTCCTGGGGCATTCAATCCAAAGGGGAAGCAAAGCTCTATCTTAGGAGGTCCTTCTGAAGTGAAGGTGGTAACAAGTCTGAGAGGTGACCATCCCTCTTCTGGGGATGCCCAGCCTGAAAGGTGAACATGACCCTATCTTGGAGTGGAGGCAGAGGTTAGACCCTGCCCTGATGGGAGTCCAGTCTGAGAGGAGAGGCCACCCCTCTTCTGGTGGCACCCAGTCCAAGGGGGAAGACAGCCCTGCCCAAGGGCGCCCAAGTCTGAATGTTTCAGGGTGAGTGGGCCTTACATTCTGCACCTCAGAAACCCGAGGAGGAATCTGGAAGATGGGGCCTGGGACTCCAGGCAGCGAGGGGCATCAGTGACACCTGTGAGGTGGGCAGAATGTTTCCCTGAAGGCCCCGGGCCTGGGGGTCCTGTGGCTCTGAGCCCTGGAGATGGGCATCAGTTAGCCTGGCAGTGGAATAAGGGTCTGTCCTGCTTAGCGCTGCTTCCCCCAACCATTGTCTCATCCACTGTCCTTCCTGCCAACAGTCCTCCCACCCCTATCTCCCTGCCTCACCACCTGCCTCCCACAGGGAGACCTCCCCCTTGACCCCTGTGTAACCTCCTCTGGTCTCTACACTGGAGCAGGGACTCAAATGTTGCTTAGACCTTGTTTGCTTACTCTCTACAACTTCCAGTGGCTCCCAACATTCATAGGAGTCCTTGATGCTCAGCTTGGCTCAACGTCCATCAGGTCCTGGACTGGGCGTTTCCCCTCATTCTAAGCAGGTCACTCTGCAAGGAACTTTGTGGGTGCCCCAGGCTTTTGGACCTTTGTTTGCCTTGCCTCCCATCTAGAAGGGCAGGCAGGGCTGGCCTGAGGCTGCTCCGCATATGCTCTCACCTCCCACCCACTAAGTGAGTGTGTGGTCCTGGCTATGGTCTTGACCCCTCACCTAGCTCACCAATGAGGGGAGTGCTGCTGGAGATGGGGAACACTTCCCAGAGACTGAGGCTGTGGAGAACAAGATGCTTTGAGCTGGAGATGAGTAGGGCCAGGCAGGGGCATTGGCTTGTGTGCAGGCCCAGAGGCAGGAACGTTGTCAGGTTTGGGCAAGGAACCTGGCCGAGGGCAGTGCCCAAAGCAGAGGTGCAGGGGCCAAGCAAGGTGGTGGGTGGGTGTCGAGCAAGATGAGCAGCTGTGCGCTGTCTTGTAGCCCCCCACCACAGCCAGCCCTCTAGGCTCAGGCCCCAGGACCATAGGTCCTGAGTCAAAGCAGAGACCCCAGCCCATCACTATCCCTGCATCCTCTGTCTGGTTGCTAGAAGCATGTCAGGTCCAGGGTGGGGGCTGGGGGTTCTGTGCAGAGGGCTTTCCCAGTGGCCCCAGCCTCCACAGGCCAGAAAGGGGCTGCAGTAGGGCCACTGGCTTGCAGTAGGGCCACATGGCCAGAGACCGGAGGGGTTTTCTGCCAGTGCTGGCCAACTGTGGTTGGGGAACCGGCAGGTGGAGGGGGTTGGCCTATAGGAGTTTGGACCAAAGGCAACCTGGGTCCTCATGGAGCCTGGGCATAAGTGTGCGCAGCCTAGATGGCAGCTGACGGCAAGGAGAGGCTGGGGCCCAGCTCCCAAGTGGGTGCACGGGGTCCCTGCACTACCCTGTAAATCTGAGCCTCTCTAGGCTGAGGAAATAGCCTCGCCCAGCCTTTTCTGCTGGACTGTGCCCCACCCCAAGGACTGGCCTGTGGTTCACAGACACCCCATCCTGAGGCAAGAACCACAAACTCCCCTAAGGCTCCCAGCCCCTTTCCCTGCTGGAATGGAATGTGTCCCCAGTTCAGACCACACACTGCTTCCTTTTCCCTTTCTTTCTTTCTTTCTTTTTTTTTTTTTTCCTGTTTTTGTCCTCCTGGCCTCAGCGCATTGAGTGGGCAACTGTCCAACCACACATTTCTTGGTCCCTCATGTCTATAGGTCCAACTCTTGGGTCCCTGGTCACATGACAGTCTCCCACTCTTCCTGCAGCAGGGTGGGTGGCCGCTCTGGCCCGGAGGCCTCCTCGTCCAGGCCTGAGCAAGAGCCATTGAGGAACCCGTCGTCCTTGGGTGTAGCCACGGCAGGTGGTGTGGTCTGGAGGACTGGGGCCCCTGGTTTGGCATGGCCAGGCAGCTGGGGGTGACCGTTGGTGGTGGTGGCAGGCAGCAGGCGGGGGCTGAGGGGCAGGCCGAGTCCCGTGCGGGGGCCCACGTTGGTCACACTCGTGTGGGACACCATTGGACCATAGCTGTAGCTGCTGCTCCCGCTGCGTGCCTTGCGCTTGAAGTCCAATGCCAGAGTCCAGCGGCTCCAGGATTTCTTGATCTCAGCCTGAACCTGGGGTGGCAGCAGGAAGGCAGGCCTTCAGGTGTGCCCCAACCCTTTTGCCATGTGTCCTCCCCACCCGAGCACTACCCACATCCCAGTCCCTGAAACACTCAGCACTGAATGGAAAATGAGGCATGAGGATATTGCTAGAAAATCCAAGGCCAAGTAAAACCACATCACTGTCAGAACAGAGTGCCTGGCTATAGACAGAATCTACAGGGCTCAAATGGCCCCAGGATGGCTGAGCTCTTCAATCTGGGTTACTGGGAATTCAGCTATGGGGCTGGCAAGACACTTGGCTATGCCACAGATTGAAGAATCTACAGATTCTAGCACGTCCAGAGCCTGAATCATCCGGAAAAAGTTCTGCTTTCAAAATGTCCTCAGGGAGGTTCTTGAGGAATGAAGGAGAACCAGGCAGAAGAATGGAGAGACAGGACTTGGGGAACCCCCTAGCTCTTCTGTGTCCTCCCTGCTCTGCCCCAACACTCCCCACCTCCTTACCTCACCATTGCAGAAGCAGTATATGATGGCGACAAAAAATCCCTGTGGAGAGACGACAGTGTCAGGGCCCAGAGCCTGAGTTTGGCAAGGGCGGGAGCAGCATCCGCATGTCCCACCCACTCTCCCACCCTCACCAGGCCCTGACCCGGGCGCGCACCTGGAAGGAGTTGAAGAGCATCTCGTAGTGCATCTGGACTTGCCAGAGTGTCCCTGAGACCTCAGTGTACGGCGTGGCCATGAAGACGATGTAGTGGACACCAAAGAGCGGCATAAGCACCAGCGTGGATTTGAGTAGCTTCCTGGACCAGCAGGGCAGGCTGGTCAGGGCTGAGCCATGTCTCCCTCGAAAGGCACTATGCCACTCCCACCCTTCCAGCCCCGGGCTCCAGAAGCCACTAGGGGACCTGAGGCTTGGAGGACAGCAGAGCACAACCCGCTTCAGTTGGGGACACTTGTCCTAGGAAAATGTTAATAGGGCCCCTTGGATCTGAGGTGCCCTGGAGTTGATGACAAACTTTATCGTCACCCTGTCCCAGGGCCCTGTGCACCTCCTAGTCCCTCTGCTGGCACCCACTCACTCCTCTAGGGCCTTAATCTTACGACCCCATGGCCCACTCCTCAGGTTCCAGCTGAGCTGCTGCCTTCTCCACCTGTCCCTCACACTCCTTGAGAGCAGCTCTTTGAGAAGTCCGGGTTTGTCCTTCCCTTGCAGACTCCAGCTCAAGGCTAGGCACCGAATGGTCCAGGTTGGCTCTGGGGTGCTCCCAGGGCCTCCAGCAGCTGGTGAGATCCCATCACTGCTGGACAGGCCAGAGTCCCAAGCTGGCCAGCTGAGCAGAGCAGCCAGGGGTGAAGAGCTGGTTTTATCCCTGAGACAGGCTCACTCTTGGGTCTTTCCTTTTGTACATGGTGGTGGGATCTGGTGATCCCTGACCTACTGAGGAGCTAGGGCATGGTGGGTGTGGCTCACCGGTACTGCTGTCGTGTGTCACATCGGCCTGCATTGGTCTCCCGAAGCTTGGTGGCGAGCACCCGGACGATGTTGATGAAAAGGATGAAGTTGAGCTGTGGAGTGAGGGAGGGCTGCATCTCCAGGCTGCACCCTAGCTGGATGGGGGCAAGGACTCTGGGCCCCACAGCCCTGCCCAGGTTCTGCTCTGCCATTGCCTCTCCTGGTGGCTCCTCAGGCCCTTTTTTTCCCCGTCTGAACAGGGTTGGGATCAGCTGGTTCTCAGGCCCTGTGACTCTGATAGGTCCCTGTCAGGGGTTGGTCCCCAGGGCCCAAGGTCTATATGCCCACCCAGCCCAGTGGCCACCCCTGCTCACCACAATAGAGGCCAGGATGGGCACCTGGATAATCCACTTCTTGTTCCCGGAGCTCAAGTCCCAGCACCTGGGGGAGTTTGAGGCATTAGCCCCCACCCCCTCCTGTTCCCTCCCGGGCCTGCCCACAAAGAGGCCCTCAAGCTGGTCTGCTCTAACATGAACGGCTGGCACATAGGACAGGGAAGTGTTGGACATGGCCTGTTCTGAGGTCACCCTTGCAGGCCTCTTTTGAAGTAGTCTGTTGTGACCCTGAGGGGATACCCAGCTTAACACAAGAGTCAGGGCATCGGAGGTCCCCTCCTATGCTTCATAGAAGAAAAGGGTCCCAGGGGTGTTTCTGGCTAGTATCCAAACCTTCAACCCCCTTCTCCACCAGGACCTACCCAGTATTGGCCAGGGTAGCTCTCACACTGACCCACACAGCCACGAAGATGGCAGGCAGACCTGTGGGCACAGAGGTGGACAGTGTGTGAGGAACTGTCAGAGTTGTCCATGATGTCTCTTTCCTCAACCCACCTCATGGCTCCCATTCCCTCCATTCCTGGTGACCCCCAACTTAACCCAATTGTTGCCTCTAATCCCCCGTATCCTAGGCCCAGGGGCTGCTTGGTGACAGAACCACACTCTGGCACGTGTTGCCAATAGCCTCCCCTAAGGTCCAGCCCTTAGGATTCAGCTCAGCCCTCTGCCCCTATCTTGGTTCTACATCTCTTACCCACACACACCCCTCAGGCATGTGGTGAAATCAGGTATCACTAAACTCTCCATGCCCAATCCAGTCCCCCTTTGGTATTCTCTATGGGGAGGGAGCCTATTACTCGCATTTTCTGTACCAGCGCACCACTTCCCCCACCCAGGTGGAAAGGTCCTAGCCCCGTGAGTGAGGCCAGATGAGGTGAGGGATGGCCTTCCATGTGCGCAAGAGCTACAGGGAAGCGCCTCCGTGTGCCCTGGTCCTAGTCAGTGCAGGTGGCACCTAGCACCTGAGTGAGCTTTGCCTCTAGGAGGGGAGCCCCAGGTCTCACCCTCCCCATCCTCACACTTCATTCTAGGCCCAGTGACCCTTGGGAGAGGTGGGTTTATGGTGAGAAGCAGCTGTGACATTCTTGTGCCACAGAGTTCTCTGTGCTCCCTGATCTGATGTTTCCAGCCCACCCTGACACCCTTTAGCTCCAGAGCCTGAGTCAGTTCCTGGGACCAGGTCCAGACTCTGGGGCTTGTCATGGGTGAGGTCAAGGTCACAGTGTGTGCCAAGGGGCAAGGAGGCTGTGGCTGTGGCTCTGAGGGCCAGTGGGTGCTGAGCGCAGGGAGGGCGCCAGCCACCCAACCTAGCCCTGTGCAACCTGGCTAGTTGCCCCGGAGGCCAGCCAGGCTCTGGAGCAGCCAACAATAATGGACAATTATCGGTAACTCAATCCCAGAGCCTGTGGGGGAAGAGTACAGAGCTCCGGCAACCCATTCTGCAGAGGGGATGCCCGGGCCTGCTGCTCTGGGCCTTGGGCCCTGCAGGCAAGGGCAAGGTGAGAGTGGTGTAGACAGATGGCTCCATGAAAAGAGGGAATTGGTGGGGAAAGGGCTCAGGGTGGCGTGAGGGTCCCCATTCCAACTCCAGTCCGAGGCTGACCTCTGACCCAAGATCCCATTCTGATCCTGAGCTGAATTTTGGCCTGAGGGTCGCCCTTCCTTCCTCTGAGCTGACCCTCAGCTCCAGGTGAATCTGTTTCCAGGTAAGCCCCAGCCCCAGCCTTAGCCAACACCAGGTGAACCCTGACCCTGGCCAAGCCCTGTCCCTGAGCTTGGGAGGGGGTCAGCGTCACAAAGGGTGGGCAGATCTGGAACAGGATATGCTGTGTGGGCACCCTGCCTCTGTGGTACCTTCTGACCCTGCCACCCAAGGTCCCGCCTTGCCTGCACCATGCCTGCGTACCCCAGCCGAAGATCGTGAAGCCCCACAGGTACTTCTTCTCTGAGAAGAAGGCCATGAAGATGAGGCTGTGCAGGTACAGCCCCTCCACCAGAATCCAGTAGTAGTTGGTGGCCAGGAAGTAAAGGAAGAAGGTCACAGCCACCCGGCAGCCCGCCTAGGAGACCAGTCAGTATCAGGTGTTAGCCAGAGGGCAGGGCTGGGCTGGGGAGGGGTGGAGGAGTGGGCCCTGGTGAGGCAGGACAGGGCGCTAGTCAAGCGAGGGAGAAAGGGGCAGGCTCTGGTCAGGACCTTCCATCCAAGGCTGAGGGGTGTTGGGGGGATGGTGCCAGAGCCAGGGGACAAGTGAAGAGGTGGGGGGATTAGGGGTCCTGAGCTGACACCTAAGAGTTGAAGGAAGTCGGGGTGGGAGCTGGAAGCAGGGCTGAGGGGTGAAAGGAACACAGCGAGGTGAGGGTGGGTCACCTTAAGCAGTGGTAGCAGGAGGCATGGAGGGTGCGGGCCAGGCTAAGGGTGAGGGGGCACAGCGGTGTGGAGCTCCCCCGAAGCCAGTGGTGGCAAGGGGCCAGGCACGGGAGGGGCACTCACGTAGCCGGCGGTGGCAGAGGGTGGCGGGGGCGCCTGGGCGATGGCCCGCAGCTCTTCCTCCGTGAGGCGCTCAGCCTCATCGAGCGTGGCGCCGGAGTAGAGCACCGCGTCCTTGACGAAGATGCTCACAGCCCGAAGCATGAAGGACAGGAACAGGTGCATGTGGATGTAGTTGCGCGTGCAGTGCAGCCGCCTGCGGGCGGACGTCACCGTGGGTGGGGGCAGGGGGAGGCTCAGAAGGTGGGCACAAGTCGGGCTGTGAGCGTGGACCCGGACACTCAGCAGGGGAGGGGAGGAGGAAGGGAAGGGAGGTCCCCATCTCTGCCCCCCTTTCGGCCCCACCCAGGCCACAGCCCGCATCCGGCCCCTCGCCCGCCCACCTGAAGTAGGCCAGGATGAGCACCGCCACGGTGAGGGAGGCCAGCGACACCGAGTAGCCCACGGTATAGATCATGCCCAGGCGGTCAAACACCTCCTGTGAAGGTGGGAGGCACCGTCAGGGCCCTGGGACAGGGTGTGGCTATCAGATTAGGGGTCAGAGGCCTGGTTAAGGTTTCTGAAGGACTCAGAACAAGGTAGGGGTCACCAGTGGGGCAGTGTGGCCTTCCCAGGGTCAGGCTCGGGAAGAGAAAGGCTCGCACCCGTTCCCGAGTCTCATTGGTCAGGAACTTGACGCACTCGCTGTAGTTCGCCCATGTCCGGTTGTGCCCGGGCACCAGCTCCCAGCTGCCATTGCGGTCACAGCGGCGGTAGGCATGGCCTGCAGGTTCAAGGCAGGATCAGGACAGGCAGGAAGGACTGGAGTCACTGAAGCTCTGGCCTCCAAAGCTGTGTCCCTCGGGACACACCCTACTCCAGTCCACCTTACCTTTGTGATTGAAGTCATAAATGTAGTCAGGACAGGGCACAGCCACCACCTCACCTGGTACCCCCAGTGGCCAGCACAGGATGTGGTCCCACTCAGGCAGGCAGGGGCGCCCTACACCCACAGAGACAGACAAGCAAGGTGGGGAATACCAGTCAAGTCCACGGTTAGTGGCCCAGAGGGAAGAAAAGACCTATGGTTGTTGGCTCCCTCAAGGACAGGTAACCCCCAGGACTGCAGAACTCAGGCCAGGAACATTCTAGAGAGAATGGATTGAGCTCCTACTCCCTACTGTGCACTGTACCCACCCACCTTCACCGAGTTCACTATAGCCCCTGTATGAAGGTACTGGTGCCGGCTGTTTTCCAGATTGGCTGGTGGAGGCCAACAGAGGTGAGTGACTTGCTGAGGTTACAAAGCCCAGGGCCCTGGTCTCAAGTGCTCAGCCCCAGGCCAGACATCTCTTTTCTCTCTGCTCTTGCACCCACCTTGCAGGTGTCCCCGGAGAAGGGCAAGTTCCCCAGACTGACTCTCCAGCTGGGCATAGATCCCAAAGTGACTCTTGGGCTGGGATCATGGACAGGGGGCTAGTCTAGTTTCCAGGGCCAGCTCGGCTCCTGCGGAGCTCCTGACCTCATGCATGTGTCTACTCTCTCTGTACTTCCGTTTCTTCTCCAAGACCTTGGGATTGACATATTGGCCTGTGCCTCCAACAGCACCTGCTATAAACTGCTACCGCTCTTGGGGACAGATATCCCCCAAATAGAAGCGCTAATTTTGAGATTCGAGGCAGGTGACACATCTCGCTGACAGTATCTCGAAGCAGAGACACTAAGTGACCTTGGAGGGTCCTCAGCCTTTGGCTCTTCCACAGCCCACCATCCCCTGCCGCCACCCCCAGCTCCCTTCTTCCCCCAGCAGGGCTCCAACCACAGGACTCTCCAGCCACCTTGGAAGGTTGCCTTGATGGCTGGACCCGCCCCAGCTTGGTGAAAGGCTCTCTGTCCTGGGCACTATATTCCCAGCCCCGCCTGGCCAGGCCCTCAATTCCCTCTGGTCCCTGGGGAGCCACATGGTGACCACAGCCTCCCAGATGTGGCCCATCTGGAATCTGCTGCCCACCCAGCCGGTTCAAACTGGCCCTGTGGCTGCAGCCTGGGCTCTGTATTTGTCTCTCCTTACCTCCCCGAGGGACAACAAGGACAACAAAACCCCGCATCTCCCTTCCCATCCTCTCCCCACCTTGTCCCGTCCTGTCTGACCCCACCCCTCCTAGGCCATCTTCTGCTCTCTCTCCGTGGCCCACCTCACTCTGTCGCAGCGATAGCGAGATACTCCCGGTAGCCTGTGTCCCAGACCTCTAGTTTGTGCCTCCTGGCACCCACCTCTCCGGCTCCTAGATCTCTGTCTCTATGTCTCTTGGGTCTCTCCCTGCCTCCTAGTCTCTGCCTCTGTCATACTCCTCTGTCTCTCTCCCTGGCCCTCTGGCATCTCCATGGAAGGACTACAGCCCTAGGTGGTTCAGGGCATTCTCTGCCCACATCTTCTGGGGCTGAGTCCATTCGGCTTGCCCGCTCTTCCATGTGCTGTCCCCTCAGCTCGGTCTCTTCCCAGCTCCTCCCCTGCTTTCCTGTTCACAGGCATCGAGGGGCATGAGCTCACAAGATGGGGATAGAGCCGTGGGGGTTGGCGGGCCCCAGCCTGTCTAGGACTCACGGGAGCATGGACGTACCTCTGCGCCTACTGCCTGTGGGCACCTCTTCGTCCTCCTCAGACTCAGGGTAGATTTTCCCAGATGCCTTCTCTTTCCTGGGCTTCCCTGATGTGGACGCGGATGCCCATCCCTTGTCTGATTCCATTATGTCAGCTGGAGGAACAAGGGCGGTTATGGCTGTCAGCCACGCTGCAGCAGGAGACCGGGGCACACTCCTGCTTCAGACTCTTTCACACAATGTGGTTGTCCCCTGCCCTGCTGATACTCCAGGCTGTTTGGGGGAGTGGAGATGACAGGTAAGGAAGTACATTAGAACTGGATGGGGACTGTCAGCAAGGGGTTCAAATGGCAGCAAACGCCAGATGCGTGTGGGGTCACCTAGTGGGTTGAGAAGTACATGTAGGCAAGACAAGGACAGAGGTGGTATCTTCTGACCCAAGTGTCAGAGCCAAAGCCAGACAGGCAGCAAAGGCCCCACCAGGGGGCGCATGGCAAAAGTAGACAGTAGTGATGTCAAATGAGAAGGTAACCAGGGCAAAGGAAGCCAGGCCCCAGCACTGCCATGCATGTCAAGACGTGGTGTGGAAGACAAGAGCAAGCGTGTGCAGCTGTCAGGGGTGGGCAAACGAGTCTACCTACCCTGTCTCCTGCCTTCAAGTACTCCAGTAAGGGGCTCACAGATTGCACAAGGAAGCCTGGAGGCTCTCCATCTGAGATGGGACCTGGCCTTTCTCTCCACTGGAAGGATGCTTAGGGTCTTTCTTCCTCCCTGAAAAGTCTTCCTCGTTATCTGACTTGCATCCTTTAAGCTACAGCCTAAGCCAGGACTCCCTGGCCCTCCTGTGTCACGGTTTGTGGCAACATTGGGTAGCTGAGTGTAGACACCCTGGTCTGGGAAGGAATGGCCTGTTTTCCTGCCAGCACCCTTGGGCGTCAGTTGGGTTAGGTAGCAGGATGGGGTGGAGCCGTAAGAGAGGGTCTCATCATGAACACAGATGGACATCCAGGCTTCCACAGCTAAGAAATGGCCTGGTTTCATACCAGAGTAACCCGCAGGCCCTGATGAGATTGGGGCAGGGCACCAGGGAATCCCTACTGGCAAGAATGTAGACAGGGCTGTGACTGCACAGACCACGTGAACCCTGAGTGTGAGCAAAGTCCGTGGGCTACAGAGGATGTCTTGTGTCCCTCAGTGTCCTCCCTCCACAGTCCAAGAGCCAGCTGAGGGGAGGAAGCTGCAATTGTAGGCCTGTCAGTCAGGGTCTGGGCCTCTTCCAGGCCCGTGAGATAAAGCAGACTTCAGAGGTTTGGGTTGATACTAATGAGGCTGGTCTCTCTCTGCTTCCAGGAAAAGGACTCAAGGAAACCAGCCTGAGGTGGGGGCAGGAGCTGTCAGATCAGGTGAGCACCCTGGCTAATCTCCTGACCCTGGTTTGCTTCACGAAATCTAAACTTGTTGTGGGTGATTCCGACTGTAGCTGCCTTCAAACCACCGACCCCCACCCTGGGAGGGGAGGTACAGCCTGGTGTTGGATTCTGCTAATTTCAATGTCACCTGACCCTCCCCACTTGCAGTCCTCGCTTTGGACTTGCTCCCCTTTATCTGGGCCCTCTCTTGCCGACACTTGGTTCAGCACCCTGGCCCCACCCTCTTCGGGCCTTCCCCACAGACCCTCTGTGTTTGGCCCACCCGCCTTCCCGCCTGCCACCGGCCCCGCCCCAACCTGGCCTCTGGAGGACTTCTTTGAGGCGCTTCTCGCATTGGGCCTGGGCTCGGTGCAGCAGGAAGATCTGCTCCTCTTTGGTCATGACGTCATCTGCGTCCACCTATCAAGTCAAAGGTCAGACCGCAGGCAGGGCTTCCCAGGAGCACTTGCAGGCCCCACCCCGTGCCCCACCCCGTGCCAGCCTCCCAGGACCTTTCCAAAATGTCTGACTCTAGAATGTGGGGAATCTGCCTTAAAATGGGTGCTCCCATTTTACAGAGGAGAAGCCGCCCTCTGAGGGATAGAACCTGCCCTTCCAGAAGGGTAAAAAGGGGGAGGAAGTCTGTCTGTCTCCTGCCTGCTCAATAGTGACACCCTGGCGGAGGCACTGACAGTCTCCTGTCCTTCCCCTAAGGGCAGGGGGAAAGGGTTGGAATGTCCCAGCATGGGTCCTTACAGGACCCTGGCTGTCTGCAGGGGACCTGGGTGGCGAGGGAAGGTGCAGAGCGCTTGGAGAAACAAACCAGGCCTGGATTCCTTCGTGTCCTGGTGTCCTGGGACCTTGGGAATCATCAATTTCCACTCCCGCCCTCTCTAGTCCATGCTTCCCAGTGAATGGTGAGCACCTCAGCTCCTCCCACCCTCGTTGTCCCAAGGGAGTAAGGGGGAGAAACTGCTGGCAGGAGGTCTGGCTTGGGCAGGGCACCCCCATGAAGGCTGTGGGTGGGAGTCTCCCATGTCCCACTCCTTGTCTAGAAGTGCCCTCCACCCGAGCAGACCCTGTGTGTCCTGATGATGCTGTCAGGTCTCTGCAACTCCTATTCCCTTAGCTGGAATGTTCTTCCTTTCCTTCTTTCCAGTCTGCCAAGGCGCTGGCTACCACCTACTGGGATTCACGAGCATCATCTTAGGGAAGGGAACAGCAGCATCCTGGGGCTGGGGGTGTGTTCTCACTCTGTGCAGGTGGCTACAGGAGAGGGTCTGAGCCTCCAGCCTCCTAAGGGCTAGAGGGATTCAGAGGATGAGGACAGCATCCTGCCCGGATCACAGCTCAGTGTGACCAAGCCCAGCCGCTTCCAGAAGTGCCCAATGTATCTCCTCAGAATCCCGGGACAGGCCCATGTCCCCTGGGATCCCTGAGCCCTAGAGCAGGGCTGTCCCTTCAGACTCCACATAACAGAGCCGGGTCTTCTTAGACTCTCAAGAGGCAGAGCCGCATCTCCTCAAACACCCGTGACAAAGCCGGGACATCAGTCTTTGTGGAGCTTCGCAGGGTAAAGCTTCAGGGAGAACCAGGAGGAGGCAGGGAAGGAAGGAGGTTGGGGGTGGGGCTGCAGGGGGGTCAGGGGGAGGGACGGGCACCAGCGGGTGGGGGCGGGCCTGCCAGGCGGCTTAGGGAGCCTGGCTGCAGGGAGAAATTAATTGACCGCATCTCTTGGTGGCAGCAGCAAGGGTTTCCAGGGCCAAGGAGTCTCCAGTTAGGCTGGACTTGAGTTCTGCTGGTTTCACTTAGTGGAGGCGCGTGACTCTCTGCGCCTGCGCGTTAATGGTGGCACACCCTTCAGTGGCCGCACACATGCTGTTGGGTCAGTGTGTCACTCACGCACACTCATGTCTCCACATCGTTTGCACGTGGGAATTGCATGCACATTTTGGATATGAGCCCGAGGTGCTTATGAACATGCATGTATACATATGCTTGTGTAAATGTCCATGTGTACAACTGAGGGTGCAATGCCCTGTGACTGTCTGTGGGTGTCCATGCTTCTCTGGAATCCAAATTGGCCCCAATGCCCACGGACCCCGCAGGAAGGACTGCTTCCGCAGTGCCTCCATCCTCTCCAGCCAAGGCAGAGCAGGCTGGGGCAGAAGAAGTAGCCAGAGGTGAGAGGGTTTGAGAAGGACAACTTGGACCTGCTCCACGCCTGACCTGGAGTTTGTGCCTCTCGCCTTAGGGACGCAGTCAACTGAGTTGCCTTTCTTGCAGTTAGTATCTCTACCAATAACCACCACCATCTCCGCCTTGACCAACACCAGCCCAGCCATCACTACTGCTGTGGTCACCATCGCCCCCAGTATCACTGCCAGCAACAGCACCATTACCACCACGTGCACTAACTACTGCTACCATCACTATAAGCACCGGCACCCCCATCGCAACTGGGGGAACATCATTACCATCACCACCACCATCACCTCCAGGGCTTTTTCATCAGCGCCGTCAGCACTATTATCATCAAAGTTGACACAAGGAACATCACTGCCATCACCAGTATTGCCACCTGTGGGCACTATTGGCACCACCTTTGCAATCTTCTTGTCGTTTCCCAATTCCCTCTCTTCTGCCCACCTCCATCCCTCTCGAGACAGATGATGCAGCATATTGTTCTCAGCTGACGGAGAACTCCTGCGTGATTCACCGAAGCTTCTACCACTCTTCAAAGACTGGCTGACGTACCAGACCTCCCAGTAGACACATGAGCCCACTAATGTGGCTGACGGTCACATTGACGCTCTTGACTAGAGACCAGCAGTCACGGGTTGAAAACTGCCCATTTATCAGCCTGGCAAAAGGGCAGAGGTGCTAGCTGGGTGATGACCAGGAATGACATTCTCAGAGGCCCAAGGGGTTAGTCCAATCTGCTGTTGGCTTCACCCTGTCCATGGCCAAGAAGAGGCATACCCTCATTCTTGGGGTCTCCCATAGTAGGTCTGGGGATGCCCAGGAGAGGGGAAGGTATGTGTGACCAGGACCCCACGGCCTCCAGATTCTTTCGTTCACCCACAGGAACGGTGGTCCCACCTCTGGCCTCCCTGGACTGTAGGACCCATTTCTCTGTTACCCCATCACAGAAGAACTCATTGCAACAAGAGGCATTCAAGCCCGATTCAAGGACACACTTCCCCAGGAGAGAAGGGCAGCTCCACGTAAGCACACCCCTGCCTGAAATGCCCATTGACACCCCCCACACCCCCACCCCCGGCTGCACCCTCTCCTTGTCCGAGGAGATTCGGCCACCAGTTCTTGAGTTTGGTGGAAAACTGACTGGCTTTATTGTCTTTGGGGAAGTTGCTTAACCCTTATGCTTCAGTTTTCCACCTATAAAATCAGGATAAAATAGGGCTGTTGTGAGGATTAAATAAGGCACTGCATGAAAAGCCTGGGCAGGAGTGAGACCCAGGGAAAGCTGTTGGCTATTGTTGCTACTGTTATTAGCACCAAATCATGGCTCCTCCCTCTGGTGGTGCCCTACCCCCATCCTGCTGCTGGGCAGCATGGGTGACCCCATCCTAGGTGGTAGGAAAGATTATCTGGGTAGGTGACTGAATCTAGGGCGCCATAGTGAGGGACTGATGAGAGACAGGACCCGAGGGACGACTGGGAGCAGGGAATACAGGAGGGCCAGCTGGATGAGGTGTGTCTGGCACTTAGGGGCGGGAGGCTATTTCAGTGACTCCTATTTTGCCCCCCTTACACTATTATTTAAGATCATGGCGAGGCCTCCCAAGTTTAGGTGTGGAGGTAGTAAAAGGGCCTCTCCTCTGCCCTGGGAGCAAAGGGGCTGGGATGGCAGCTCTGTTTCTCCTCCAGGCCTGGTGACCTGCGCTATCTCTCCCTCTCTGCCCCATCAGCCTCTCTCCCTCTGCAGTTTGAATCTTGCCCCAGCTAGTGGTGTAGAGGACTCAGATTTGTATCATTTTAGATCCGGAGAGTCTGATGATCTAGGATCTCAGGCATGAAGACAGGCACACTGGGCTGGGCCTTGGCCGGGGGTCAGTGGTCCATATCCAACACTGGTGGGGCCACCCAGCCCTGTGCCAGGTGCCCTGCAACACCCACTTTTTGGGTTAGGGTGACATGATTTCCGCTGACTTAACCACCTCTACTGTTGGTGAGTCCAGGAGGCTAGATATGTGAGTATGGGGGTGTAGTTGGAGGTAGGAAAGCTCCCAAAGCTTGTCCCCTCGGAAACTTTCACCATGTGACTCCCACACCAGGACAAATGGCATTGCCCCTGCTCTGATGTGGGAATAGAGAATGGGTGTGACAGTATGCAGGAGAGCGGTCTGGTCAGGTAGACAGGACACAGGTCTGGGCAAAGCCTGGGGTGGGGGGCATTTTATTTCACCTTTTGGGGGTTGACCTTACCCATCCTCACACCTGAAAGCTCTTCCCCATCCCACGACGCCCATCCTGCTTTTTCCTGGATGCCACTCCTGGGTGCTACATGGACCCTCAGACTCAAAGTACCTGTAAAGGAATTCCCTGTCTCCCCACCTGCCCTCCTCCTCTGTGTTGCCCTTATTCTCCCAGTTTCCAGAATTTTCACACACCCTTTGCCTGCTTTCCTCTCCCTCATCTCCTTAACCACTGGGCCTAGGCTGGTCTGCTTTGTCGCAGAGCCCTGTTCTCACTGTTGCTGCCCCAGTTCAACCTGGATCTTCCTGCCTCCAGTCTCTCTGCCTTCAATCCGGCCTTTCCGTGCCACAGGTCAGGCTTTCTGAATGCAAAGGTTGTGCTCCACCATAGCAGGCTGACCCACATCCAACCCCCCAGCTCAGCTTCCTGTGTGCACACATGCATATGGTGTTCAGTTGTGAACACGCAGGGGAGGAGGTGATGACCTCCTGAGCTAGGGAACAGGGGGTGTTGAGGTGGGGCTTGTGGGGCTAAGGCAAGGTGCAGGTGGGGGCTGGAAGCTAATTGGTTATTTACAAACACAGAAGCTGCTATCCCAGGGACAGGGTAGTGTGTGGTCAAGAGGCCCGGTTGTGTTTCTCATTTCCTGAGTCCAGAAACCCGGAGGAAGAGAAAAGCCATCTGCTGCTGCTCCTCCCCCGACAGGGGCAAGCAGCTTCTTCTAATTCAGCTCCCAGGGAGACCTGAATGAGGTTGGCATTGGGGCCAGAGAGGGCAGTGGAGGTCCCAGTGGGGGTAGAGGTGAGAGTAGCGAGGTGGCAGCGCTATGGTTGGTGATGGTGACGGAGATGCAGGTACGAGGGTCGCAACGGTGCGATGCGGTGGAGGGAGCTCGTTCCATGCCACTGGCCAGTGAGGGCCACTCCTCTCAATTCCCCTCCTAACTGCCAAATTCCACACATTTGCTGTCTGTGATCCCAGACATGCCTAATTCTCCTCCAGGCAAAACTAAGGAGGACGCACAAGGGACCGTTCTTCAGCTGCTGACACCTCTGCCTCTGCAAAAGGGGCTTCTCCCACTGCCTGGGGTTAGCCTCGGGATGCCTTTTTGGGGCATCTCATCCATCCCTCGGACTGAATTCAGCCTGGCAGCCTGGGGGAAGCCTCCTCGCTCACCTCAACAGAAGGCAGATCTGCCCGTGTATCCCTGGACGAGGCCAGTCTCTCCTGCCCCACGAGAGCCCTCTGTTGGCACCAATCACTGTCCCTGGAGCTTTAACCACATCGCCTTCACCTTCACCACAGCTTATAAACAGGGACAACGGGGCCGAGAGTCACAATTAGGAAGAAGAGGGCCGGCACTGGAGCTACGGGCTGCTTGACACCGAGGAAGGGCAGGAAAGGAGGAGGCACCCAGCCACATGACTCCGGCAGTGCCAGCCTCCAGCCCAGCTCTCCGGAGTCCTGGATTGTATGCGTCACTGCATCAAGCAGGGGTCCCTTTCAGAACACCTAAGGCAGCTTCCTCAAAGGTAATTTAGGGGCGAAGGTACAAGCAGAGGTGATCAGAGAGAGCTGGTGCTGCCAGTGGCAGCTTGTGCTCAGCTCGAGCTGGGCAGAAGACAGTCGCATCCTGGTATTTGGAGCAAGGAGAGTTTGTACCTCCAGAAAAGGCAGGAGCGAACTCCTTGGCTAAAAGGAGACCCCCTCATGACCTCCTGGCCTTCCTGCACCTCTTCTCCGGGCTCCATTACTGGGACCTGTGCTGGCACCCCTCACTATCTCCCATGCCAGCTGGCTGGGGACTGCTCCCCCCCGCCCCTCGCTGCCCTCCATCCGTCCGGCTGGCCCAAGCAGGCTGAGACGGGCTCCCTGCCGGGGACACTGCTGCCCCGCCACCACTGACAAGTGCTGATTTTTCCTCCCCCTGGCCAGGCCTTCCTGAACAGGCTGCCTGTGTTCAGGACTGGGAGGGGTTGGGGTGGGGGGAGGCACTGTGACGCCTGCCTCTCATCTTGGCCAGCGTGGACGCCTCAGGGCTGGCGGTGGGATGGAGCCTGGGATGGCGGAGTTGGCTGCTAGGACCCTGTGGATCTTCACAAGCTGCCTCACCTGGGCTGGAGGTCCAAGGCCCAGAGGGATGATATGGCTTAATCTAAGCAAAGTCTGGTCAACAGAGCAGGATCTGCCAGGTCTTATCTCAGGCAAGAAGCCGGCGCCAGAGTTGGGGTTCTTAAGTGTGGAGGTTTCCAATGTCTTTGAAAATCTGAGCAAAACTTCGTTTCCTCTCCCAATCACAGTGTATTTCTCAATTTCAGGGGGCTGCAAAATCCCCACCCACTCCTTCTTTTTCCTGGGGACTCTTTCTCTGAAAGCACTGCCTTCCTGATGCGGTGGCCGGACCAGGGAGTGTCCCCAGAAGGCCCACAACAGGAATCTGGGGGAGGCTGCTTGACGCCTCATTAAAACATTCCGAAGAAAACCCAAGTTCTAGGGAGGGCTCAGCCCCCCTCCTCCTGCTCTGTTTCCAGTGCTGGGGGCTGGGACAGTGTTTATGGGCAGGTGATATAAAAAGCTCCAACAAATCAATACGAAAAAGACAAACAGCCCACAGAAAGATGGGTGATGGCTCTGAGCAAGCTCTTAGAAGATGGACAGGAAACCAATTGTAAAATCCCAAAACTCACTGGTAATTGGCAAATTAAAATGACTAGAGACACCATTTTTCACCTATTAGAGCTGCAAAGGTGAAAAGAATATTCATACTATCCTGTGAGATAAAGGATGTGGGGAAAAGACCCTTCCAGTTACTGGTGGTGTATTAACCGACACAGGCATTTTAGAGGGCAATGTGGCCGTGCCTATTAAAATAAAAAATGTGCGTGTTCTCACACCCAGGAATGACAGAATCTAGAAATATCCTACAGGGAAATGGTCACGTGGGGACACAAGAGGGCATTTCAAGGAGCTTCCCTGCCACAGTCTGGAATACTATATGCACACATACATGCACAAATGAAAATGATGCAGAAACGATCTAAATGTACATTGCTAGTAACTGCTTAACGATGCCCACGTTTTGGAATACTATGCAGCATTAAAAAATACTGACTTACATTTACTGACATGAAGACCTTCAAGACTCAGCATATGGCTGAGCTCTATCTACAAACTGATTCCATTTATTTAAAAAACAATCAGAAAACAACAGAACAAAATTATCTACTTTATATATACACAAAAAAGATACCTTTTGGAAACACAGAGAAAAGGTTCGGGAGGATATCCCCCATCCAGATTGTTAAAAATTGTTTTCTCTAGAAGGGGGGAGGGGTTTGGCAGAAATCAAGGATGACTTCTGTTTAATCTGTATTTTATTTGACTTGTATGAGAAAGAACACATTCAAGTATTAGTTTTGAAATTAAAAATAAGAAAGTAAAAGGAAAATAACAGGATATTTTTGGAAAAAGAAGGAATAGAAAGAGAAAACCCAGAATGTAGCATGGGGATCTCCTGCCAGCAAGAGCCCTCATCCTGCTTTGGAGAAAGCAGCTCCGTGCTGGAGTCTGAAAACTTGGGTTTGAGTCCCACCTCTGGCACAGACTCACCCTGTGAACCTGAGTCCTTTCCTGTAAAATGGGCTGGTTACTGTTGGAATGAGAAAGCATCTGACAGTTTCTAGCTCAGGATCTGGGGAAAGCCACCGTTCAGTACATGTTGGTTCCTTCTGTCTTTAAAAGTGCTCAGAAGAGCCGAGTTGCCCCTGGAGCAGGCTAGGAGGGCTCCCTATACTCCAAAGCACCATAATTTGTCCTGAGACTGACTCCAAGGCCAGTTACTTCTACACTCAAAGCCCCGGCCCCCCAAGCTTAGCTTCAGCCACTTCACTGCAGTTAATGTACATGCTGGTGATGTCCTTAGGATCAGGCATCCCCAAGGTTAGGATGATCCCTTTGCCCCACTAGCAATCTGGGCCCATCCCTTCTGCCACACTTTATTCCACCTGACCCCTGGCCTCACAGCTACTCTTCCCCGTAAGGTAAAAGATAAAATGTCCAAGTCTGGTCAGCGTCCTCCCGGTGGGACACTTTCTGGCCTCCCAACTGTGAGTTCCCTGGAGATGGGAGCTTGATCCTGGAATCCACTGGACAGGCAGCATCCAGGTTTGGTGACAGGGGCTTCAGCTGCAGTTGGTGGGCTTGTAGGAATGAGTGGCAATCCCTGAGCTGGGAGGGAGCCAGCAGGCTCTCAGCTTCTCATGGCTGTAGTGGAGCCCAGGGGACCCACAGGGCACTAGGTTACCCTTGGGCAGTATCTTTTAGCCCTGAAGCCAGAGAGGGTCCAGTGCTCATGACTTGAATATCTAGTCGATGCCCCCCCAAAGTCCCAGGGCAGACCTGGTCCTGGCCATTCCTCCTCCTGCCTGACCCTCAGCGTTGGGCCAGGATTAAGTCCCGGAAATTCTCTATGTGTTCCCCTGAGATCAGTGGGGGGCTCTGGGTACCTCTACCCTCTGCCTCACATAGAGGCACAGGATAGGTGTTTGATTGGCACGCAATAAATAATGTTCTTAAAAGTTGTATGACTTAGCTCAGTTAGAAGATGAGGATAATAACAGAACCTTTCTCAGAGGTTTGTTGGTAAGACTAAATTAGTCAATATATAAAATGCATAGAATAGTATCTAGCACGTAGAAAACACTATAGAAACATTTATTAAATAAAAATAAGAAAACAACAGACTTGGGTTCATGTGTTCACACATACACACAACCATACTCCTAAAATCATGTGCCGACAGCTTCTTCAGTCACATGTAAGATCACACTCACGCAGGCCCAGAGAACACCAGGTCCAGAGTCCTACAGAGCCCTGCCCTGATGCACAGACACACTCCAAGGGCACTCGCCCCCACTCTGTATTCCTGACAGTCCCATGCACAGGACATACACACGAGCCACGCTGGCTGGCTCCGCACAGCGGCTCTGCTCACCTGCCCTGGAGAGGGCCCGGGAAAGGTGTCCTTCCTGCAGGGAGGGTGAGCTCCAGACCCTGCCCTTCACCAGGGTTTGAAGTGCCTCTGCAGAGTGCCGAGCCTCTCTGAAACTCAGTGTGCCTGACTTTGGGGAGCCAAAGTAGAGAGGGCACGAGCACTGGTGAATGGAGGTGTGGAGGCCCATAGAAGAAACGAGAGCCTCAAATCGGAGGATTCTTAGTCAAAGGTCTCTTTCTTGCTGTCTTTTTACAGATGGAGAAACTGAGGTGTGCAGAGAGGGATGGCCCAATGTTTCACAGGCGTTAGGCCGAGCTATGGGAATCCCAGAGCTCCTGCTTTCTCACCGGGTGTCTACCTGAGTGGAGAGCACATCAAGGGGGGCTGCCTGACAGTCTCTCTAGAAGGCAGATGCTGTCACCTGGGAGCAGCAGGGCCCTTTAAGCCAGACACACAGGCAGACAGCCTCCTCAGCAATGGGCTGCTCCCCTGGGCCAGGGCTGCTGGGGGAGCTGACTTACTGCAGGTAATGGTCCCCAGACCACGGCCCAGGATGAGGAGGTGCTGTCCCTTCCCACGTCCTGGCCTCTGTCATCCTCTCCGCATTTCTATTTGCTATACTTGGCCTGTCCACTCCTTCTGCTCTGAAGAACTCTCAGCTCATGCCCCTTTGTCTCTCCTTCTCCTCGTTCTGGCCTTATTTTCCTGTCTCTTCTCCCTCTGGTACTCTCTCCGCTTCCACTCTCAGGAAGGTGCAGATGGGCGCCCCCCCCCATCCTCCCAGAGGTCCCCTTACTCGCTGGACTCAGTGGTCTGCGGTCAGTCTCCAGGAGACCACCGTTCCTCCTCCGGGTCACGTCACACCTGCCTCTCTAGGCAGTTTCCACTCTAGGTAAAGCTGAGTTCCTGTGTGTGTACCCCATGCAATCTTGAGAGGTAAAGTGGCCCTCTAAATGCTACCCCCTGCCTGGGTGATTCTGACCTCAGACCCATAGCCCTGTGTTCCAGATTGCAAGAAATACTTGCAGAAGAGAGGCCACCAGAGCAAAGTTTTGTGCTAGGTCACGCCGTCATTTTCCAGGGAGACAAACGGACCAGCGGTGCTCACAGAAGCAGAAGACAGGAGAACCCCAACCACAGAATTCCAGACCTGAGACCCCAAACACCGACTTCAGTAATGGAGAGACCTGGAGCATCTAGAATATCAGTCCAGACACTCCAGAGAAACAGGCACGGAGGATTCCCACACCCAGGGGACCCCCCCGCAAAGTTCGGATTACTCGGGGAATCCGAGAGGCTGCCTCCTGAACCCCACACGGGAACCCCACGGTAAGCCCGCAGCCTCTCCGCGGAGCAGGGGCACTTACCAGCGCGTACGCGGAGCTGAGCACCGGGCAGCAGAGCAGCAGCGCCAGGCCGGGCGCGATCCGGGCGGCCCCCATGGCCACCGCCTAGGGCCCCGTCCCTCGGGGCAGCCGCCGCCGCCGGCCCTGGTGGTGGTGGTGGGGTGCAGAGTTGTGTCAGGCCGGGCTGCCCCGCCCACGCCCTGGTCTAGGGGACCCCGGCGGCCCGGCAACCCGAGGCCCCGGGGCCCGGCGCGGGGCCCATGCGCCGAGGGCTGGCGAGGAGCGAGCGGGCGCGAGGGAGCGGGCGGGCGGGCGGGGGGGCGGCCGGGCCGGCGGGCGGGCGCCGAGCGCTGCGGAGCTGCCCGTCTGCCTCGGAGCGGAGAAATCACATCCATATGGCCGGGCCCCCCGCCCCCGGCCCGCCCCCACCCCACCCCCCCGCGCCGCCTTTTCTTTCTTTCTTTCTTTCTTTTTTTTTTTTCTTTTGGGGAATTGGGAGCTGCGGCTTCGCCCCACGCCCATGGGGGAGGGGTCGGGGGAGGGGTTGGGGTCGCGGTCTGCGGGGGGCTAGCCCGGCGGTTATTTTTAGCTCCGCGGCCGGCGCGGAAGCCGAGAGGAGCGGGCGGGGGGCGCGCTGCGAGCCGCCCGGGGCGCGCAGCCCGGGTGAGCGGCCCCAAGTCTGCAGCGACGCGGTCCTTCGGGGGTCGGCCCGCAGCTCCCCGCGCCGCGGCCCCCTCGGGGACCCTCGCCCGCGGCGGGCGCCGCCGACACCCCCTCCCCATCCTGGGGGCGAGCCCCGCCCGCGCCCGCGCGGCCCGAGCGCGCCTGGGGCCGGGACGCGCGGTCTGTCCGCCTGTCTGTCTGCTGGTCTGTCAGTCCGTCTCTCGTTCCCCCGGCCCTGGCCTCCGCTCTCGCAGCAGCCCCGAGCTCCATTTCGGTCACTCCCTCGCTCCCTCCCTCCCCTCCCCCTTCACTCGCTACGAAAACATTTGCAAGTTTCCAAAAAAGCCACGGAGAGAAGAGCGGCGCGCGGCTGGCGGCTCCGCCGGGCTCCGGGGAGGCGCCGCCGACTGACACCGAGACCGCCCGGCCCCCCCGGCTCCCGCCCGGGGCGGGCGCGGGGTCGCCCCCGCCCGCCGCTCCCCCGACCCTCGGCGCCGGCCCCGGCCCCGACTTACTCCGAGCGCGCCGCCGCGGCCCCCGCCTAGCCATGGATGTCGGGGATCCCCCGACAGTCTCCCCAGGACAGCGCCCCGTCCGCGGCCCCGGGGGTGCTTCATGGAGCTCTCGGGATCCCCCTGGCCGGCCTGGACTCCAGCGCCCCCCACCCGCCGCCGCCCGGAGCCGCCGCCCGCCGCGCGCGTCCCTCGCCGGGCGTCCGCGCTCCCCTCCCCCGGCCGGCGCCCGTCCCTCCCCCGCGCGCTCCCGGCCGCCCGCCCGCCGCCCCCCGGCGTCACCGACCGGGGGGTGTGGAGGGCCCGAGCGGAGCCCGCCGCTCCCCTGCCGGAGGCATTTCTCGGGGCGCCGCGGGGTCACCCGGCGGCGGGACGGGGGTGTGGAGAGGACGGGGCCGGGAGCGCGGACAGCGCGGCCCGGGAACGGGGCCCGGGACGCCGCGCGGCGGAGTTCACTTCTCCGCGGAGGCGCAGACGCTATTTTTTCTGATCGTCGAGCCCGCGCCGGGTCACCCGGCCCTCTCCCTCCGAGGTGCCTGCGGGCCCTGGGCGCGGCGCTGTCAGCCCGCGGGACTCCCGCTGGGGCAGGCCCGGGGCTGGACGGGGGGTCCCCGGGAGGCTGCGCGGCCGCCAGCCCCGGGCCGCGCTTCGCCACCGCCCTCCTGCCCCGCCCCGCGCCGCCCGCGCCCGGACCCCCAGCCGCGGTAGCTCCCCCAGCGGGCCGGGCTGCGGCGCCCTGGACCCGCCCCTGCCAGCCCCCTTCTCCCCCGCTCCCGGGGCCCGGGTCTCCCGGAGTCTCGACCCTTCCAGGCGCCAGCCGGGCCTCGCTCGTGGCTCCGCCCCCGACTCCACCCGGTCGATCCACACTGCGAGACCCAGGACTCCGCCGGGACCCCCGACCCTCGGGCGATGCTTTCCTCTCGCACCCCTTTAGGCCCCCAAACACTCTTAGCGGCCTCTGCCCCCCGGGGACCCTCATCTTGCCAGGGGGGCCTGGAGGGAGGAGTCTTTGGGGGCGGGGGCCGGGCTTGCGTGCTCCAGCCTGAGAGGTGACGCTGGAGCTCCAAGAGGAGTCTCAGCCGAGGACCCCAACCTGCCCCATCTCTCTGTACCCAGGCGGACGGGATGCTGAGGGGCAGGAGGGCCTGGGGGTGTCTGGGGCAGAGGGCTCTAAGGATGGCCCAGAGGAAGCTACTGTGACTGCGGGGACCACGGGAAAAATCAGCGATGCTGTGTGGAGTCCCTGCTTCACACTTACCGATTGTGTGTCCTGGGCACGAGGACTGTCCTGCTCTCTCGGCCTCAGTTGCCTCATCTGTAAAATGGGGAGTTGACCAGTTTATTCCTAGGGCAGTTTTTAACCGTTTCAGTGGGTGTCCAGACCCAGACCCATGGGCTCTGGGGACTCCCCAAATTCAGCCTGAGAAATTGAACTCAACACCCTCAAGCTCTTCACAATTTGGGGATGACTCCTGCTCTCAGTGTGAATGGGTCTCCACACTCAAGCCCTGCCGGAGCCAACCTTCCTGGAAACCCATTCTCCTCTGGGCTCAAACTCCAGTGTTGTCCCTATGGCTGTCTTCATGCACAGCCTTCTCCCTGTCCCCGTGCCCTCAAGTGCCCTTTGTCCTAGTGTTTAAGGACTGTACTGTTTGAGGCAGTTTCCTTCAAAGATGACACTCTCCAACAGGTCTTATCCTTCTACCCATATTCGCTCCCTACCTTTGCCTCTGTAACTTTCTCTGCTTGGCCCACACAAACGGGTAAAGGACATCCCTGCCTCCCTGTGTCCCCCCTCCTTTACTTGGTGGGGGAGGGCTGACCCCTGGGGTGGGCTCACTGGGAACAGGGATAGAGGCCCAGGTACCCAGAGTGGGCATCTAAAGAACAGTCTTAGCTCTTCAGTGCTGCATTTTGATGCACTCAGTTTTATGTCTCTGTTTCTAAGTGATTCTAAATTTTAAGGTTGGATGACTGCTGACCACCCCCAGCCCTTGCTAATAAGAAAACATTCATGGAGCGATTAGGGGCACTAAGATGTAAAATTAGGGGGGTAATAGGGAGCTCCCTCTTAGACCTGACATCAGAAAGCTCAAGTATTGGAAACAATATTTGTGTTTGGGAAGGTCAGCTTGAGGATAGGGTGCAGAAGGGCCTGATGGGCTCTGGGACTCTTAGGGTGTTCCCTTAGCCATAACTCATGTCCCTCATTCCAGAGTCCACTGTTGGACATTCCACCATTGTGGGTGGGGCCACTGACCCCCTAACTCACCCCCAGGCTTCTGGTTAAAGTACCACCATGGGGGTGGGGTGTCACACATTAACTGGTAGCAGGCACCCCAGTGCCTGGCATAGCTAACCTGCTCTTTTTGACAGGCAAGCCCCAGGGCCCAGGGTCAGTTTCTGGTCAGTCTCAGGTCAGTTTCAATGGCCTTGGAAAGGCCTGGTTGGGGGTGGGGAGTGGGTGTGAATCCCTGTGGGGTCTCCCTCTCTAATCCCTGGAGCCCAGGGGAGGAGCCAAAGTGTCATTGGAGCTCAGAAGTGGAGCAGGTGCTGGACTTGATGTAGCAGCCCTAGGCTGACAGGCCTCTGCTGCCACCATGCCACCTTGAGTAGGGCTCTGGCCAAAGTACACAGGCCCTGAGGCCAGGCTGGGTACCAGACATAAACAGGAAAGACACAGGTTCTGCTCTCTGCCACTTGGAATCACTCCTTCAGAAAATCTCCTGCCCCAGCCTGGGGGCAACTCACCATTTTGTCTCCCTAATCCTAGCCATAAAATCTGCCGGAATCTCCATTTCCACCCTGACCCGAGACTGAGTTTTATCCCTAGGCTGAGTCCTTATCCCAGTTTGACCTCTAACCCCTGGCTGAACCCTGACCTCTGGCTGAGCCTCCTCCCAAGCCCAAGCCTGTTTCCCAGACCTCTCTCTGGTTCCAGGCTCCTCCGGAAGCTTTTCACGGCCAGGGGCCGGTAGGGGAGGGGATGGCCAGGCCATAAGTGAACTGAGGTGCCACTTTTACAGCCGTTTCGGCTGCTCATAAACACCCCCTGCCCGGCTGAGTCACTGGAGGCTCCCACACACAGCTGGTCAGGCAGCCCACTCCCCTCGCTGCAGGAAGCCTGGCTTTCTCACCTCTCAGGAAGGTAAAGGAAGGGAAGCTAGGGGAGCAGGGGGTGCTCCCATGCAGGGAGTGCTCCCAGGGCACTTGGGGGGGTGTGGACTTCCTGTCCCTTCTGATCACATGGTCACAGGTCGCCTGCAGAAGTCATAATAGATTCCCAAATGTGTCCAAGCAGACATACCTTGTCAGACCCATGGCACAGGTACACACGCACTCACACAAAGGCCTACCACCACCTTGTCCCTCCCATTTGTGCTCAAGTCCCAGGGCTCCTCTGGACCCCACTTACCTGGAGCCTACAAGAAGGGCCTGGAGCCACAAAACAGACTCAGGTTGACCCTGCGGAGGCCATGGGTAGCCCTGAGCAACTTCTTTGGTTCAGACCTAAGCAAGTATGTTGCTGTTCAGGACAGGAAAAGGCCTGAGTCAGAGATGTCACATGGAAAGGAAATTAATTATTTGTTACCAAGCTCTGCACCAGCCTAGGACTTTGTCCCAGATCCCTGGTAGGGAGGCAAGTCAGGTACAAGAGTACTAGTATCTGGGTGCCCTGGTTGGGCCCTAACTCCCCTTGCCTCCCAGCCTCCATAGGTCTGTCTGCCAGGTGCCCAGGTCAGCTCAGCTCCTCAGGTGTGTGTGCATGTGCGCACACACGTCAGTGGTGCTCTCCTTGCCTTCCCAAATCTCTCTCCAAATAACTCTTCTTCTGTCTATTCCTGTGTCCCTGTCTGCCCCTTCTAGCCCTTTCTACATCTCAGAAATTTTAGGTCACCAGGAAGTGTGAGTACAGCCCCTCTGAACGACTTCATACAAGTTTTGGGCACCCAGAGATTTCAGATAGAGACTGAGGGGCAGGAGCCTCATACCCAGGCCACAGCTGAGACCTGAGACCCGACCTCTCAACACTGGATACTCACTGACCCTCAACCAGAAGAGATGTGGGGGGACTCTCTTCCTACCCAGCCCTGTCTTGACTCCACGCCTACCACCTGAAATCAGCCAGGAAGCCCTCTCTGGCTACCTCCCAGTGCCCCTGAGGCTCAGGACCTGCTCATGCAATTCCAGGTCACAGAGGCCAGGGCCTGTGGAAAGGATGGCCTCCCTGTGGAGGTCTGTGGAATGAGCGATGGCAGAACCAGGACTGAACCTGGACAGCGAGGGTGAAGATGTGCGCAGACAGGGAGGAGGAGGCCACGCACACTCCTGGAACTTCACGTCAGGGCCCAGGACCCTGCTTGGAGGCGGCCCTTCCACCCGAGCCCAGCCCGAGCTGGTTTGTGTCTGGAAGTCCCAGGCTCCGTCTGACGAGGTGTAATGATTCACGTGGCAGCTGCGGTTCAGCACATTCCAGCCGTATCCCCCAGTGCCCGGCACGTGAGGCAGCTGACCCCAAACCACCCCGGAGCTGTGGGGGCATATTTCTAGGGCCCCCATCTCCAGAGGTGACCCCTCCCCACATCTCCTAGATGCCAAGGGAGGGTAACACACATTATGGTGTCCAAAGTACTTTCTAGTTCTCAAACAGAAAAGAGAACAGGGAGCTTGAGAATACCTGTCCTCCAGGTGGGGATAAAGGACCCTTAGAGGGGAGAGTGGGCTGGCCAGGGACACCGAAGATCATGACAAACAATACTGATGGAATCCTGGCCTTGGCGCTGAGCTACTCCCAAGTGTACAGGCGATGTAGATCATTCTGTGACTAGATTTCAGATTTCTTGGTCTGTGGGCAGCTGTGTCCAATGGGTGAAGAACTCCTGTGTCCCCTCTCAGCTCCCTACTGCCCCAACCCTGCACCATGGAGCCTCTTCCTCCTTTGAGCCCCCCACACTGTCCTGCTCTTTCCACTGCTCTCATCCTCACTGGCCAGGGAAGCAGGAGTCTGGGGCTCTGAGCCTGTTCCTTTATTGCTTATGGTCTCGGTTTCCTCACCTGTCATTATCAGGGCAGGTCTCAGCTGCAGGGGCTCCAAAAGTGCCTTAGCACTCACGTCTTGGATGCCGACCTATGAATCTGAAAACCTGAGGTCCTGTCTCCCATCAAACCTCAGGAGCTGCTTGTGCAGACCACACCATGTTCACCCTGTGGGCCCCAGCCCGGTGCTCCGAGGGGGAAGTCTGGCCCTCAGCTCTGAGGACAGGAAGTCGTATTTTGGTCCTGGGTCCTGGGGAAGGAGGCAGGGGTAGAATGGCAGCTCAGACCCAGTCATGTTTACTCGGGCCCGGCCCCCTCAGAGCTCAAGAGGCCCATTCATTGGGAGCCCCATAAACCCTTTGGGGCTCCTTGAGGCTCCGAGTGCCTGGATACCAGGCCTGGCTGCCGCCCCTAGACCTGCTGGGGGCCGTGGGCAGCAGGTGAGGCACGAGTGAGGTAGGACTGGGAATGGCATGGAGCAGCCTCAGACACGCCTGTTTGGAATAATGGTTCTTGCACATTTTGGAACAGTTGGGAAAATTGAGGGGAACTTCATGACTGTGTCCCTTCAGACCATACTCCTCACTGAGACCATGTCCTCAAACAGTGTGGCCTCCAGGAAGCCTGAGACCAAAGTGGCCCAAACCAAAACTGACTTCTTGTGGAGTCCCCATATCTGGCCTTTGATTGCCACAGTCTGCACCCCAGCAAGCTGGGTATGGGTGAGCATTTCTATGGGGTGGAGAGTCATCCTTTCTAGAACTCACATCTATTCCATGGGAGATCTCAGAAGTGAAACATGGGGAGTCACCGGATTGCTGGGGATGAGGCCCTGGGGTCTGCTCATGTCTAGGGCTGGGGACTAGGATGACTCATCTCAGGGGCCCTTCTCAGCATCTGTAATCCTCCACTTGTGCTTTATTGGGAGACTAAGATACTGCCCCATGGTCCCTTGTAATGTAAGGGAGGCAGCAGCAGCATTTGGTGAGAACTGTGGCTGGGGGTGGGGAGGGTCTGAATTCTGCCCGGCTCCTGGGTGACCTTGGAGTAATCCCTACTTTACCCTGGGTTTCAGGTCTGCTGGCCGCTGACTGGAGTTGGAGTGCACACACTCCAAAGTCCCTCTCAGCTCCCTGGGGGTTCCCATGCTGGGCAGCTGGCTGGCAGTGGGGAGCAGGACAGCAGGAGAAAGACCTACCGTCCAGCCCCCTTTGCAGCAGAGCCCCCCGCCTGCTGCCCTGCTATGGGGCAAGAACGAAGCCTCATTTCCCAGACGCCTTCCGGGTGGGGTGTGACTTCCCGCTCCAGTGGTTGTAAAATCCCCAGAAGCCTGGTGGGTCCCTAGTGGGGAGGGGGGGGTCTGTGCCTCGGAATACCCCCCTCCCAGGCGTGTTTGACACGTGTTTCCGCCTCTCCCGGCATGGGCTCCCACTGCTGCTATTTATAACCTTTAAGAGCTCCTGCCGACTGCAAAGTTTTCTTAAACTCAAAATATCACCGAGGTCCTGGGCACGCGTTCCAGAGGCCGGCTGGGCCCTGCGGTTTGAAGGGACGAGGGGGCCAGGAAAGAGGAGGCAGTGCAGAGGGATTTAGCTCAGACACTGGGTCCTGGCTCAGGACTGTGTTGGGGAGGCCTTGAGTGGGGGACCTCTGGGTCTTGACACTTGGTCCTGCTTGGCTTGGAGGGATCCTCTATGCGGGTGGTCCTTGACATGCTGGGCCATTTGAGGATGGGTGGGGCCCCTCTTTGAGCCTCAGTTTCCTCTCATCCTGAATGCTGTAAGGGATACTAGTTGGGGTGAAGCAATGAGCTGGCGATGATATTGGGAACATCTCAGGCTGGTACATCTCAGGGCTGTGTCTGTCCAACTATCCAGCACCCGGCACAGAGCCTGGCCCAGAAGCGCCGTGGACATTGGCTGAACTGGTCAAAAAGGGGAAATACTTTGGGGAAGTTTATAAAACTGTGTGTGGGAGAACGACATCCAGAGAGGGGCAATGGCGTGCCAGAGGTCACCTAGCTCATCCAGACCAAGTGCTCATGCCTTCCCAACACCCAGGGCCCTCTGAGGTTCCATTGGCTGTGGAAGAGGCGGGTGGGTTGCTGCCTTGGAGGAGACTCCGGGCATAACAGCAGAGTGGCTCAGAGTCCTCCCTGAAACAGGAGGGGTCTTGCAGCCAGCTGGGTCCAGGGAGGGCAGGGTGCCTCCTAAAGCCACACCCCCAGCGCCGGCCTGCCTTGGGCCCCTGCTCCATCCCTGGGGCCCTCTTTCTCCACTGGAGTGAGTGAAAAGCTCAAGCCCTGTTTCCCAGATGGAAAACAGAGGTCCTAAAGTCTCTGGACTTAGTCATGACTTCGACAGGGAGGCTGGTAGTTTAGGCTTCCTATACCTCCCCGCACCCAACCACTCCCACCCCACCGCATCCCTTTCCTTCTCTGCTTTGGGAGCAGGTGTGCTGGATGCAGAGGCAGGGACAGGTGTGCTAACCTCCAGGCCACCCAGTGTCCAGTGCCCACCAGCAATGCACTCTGCTCCCCACGCCCCACCCCCTCCAACCACAGAAGACATTCCCAGTCAAATGAGCAGAACAGGGGCCCAGATGGGAGAGTGGTTACCCTGCCCCTTCAATTCAGGGCTCTACGTCAATTTTCTGATGCAAGTGGGATCACAGAGGACTACTCAGGAGCACAGGGCTGGGGAAGGTGGAGTGGGTGGATGGGAACCAAGGAAGTGAAGACCTATCAGAAAGGAGAGGGAAGAGAGAGCCAGGGAAGATTCTAGAAGGTTAGCCTTGACTTTACTGCTTCTTTGCTCAAATGTCTTTTGATGGTCCCCTGGACCAGTTCACTCATTCCTCAAACACTTGTGCTGTCACTGTGTGCTGAGCTGGGCTTGGAGACTTGGCGGCTCAGAGGATGAGGTCAATAGGGCCCGCGTTTCTCAAACCACCTCTGTCTGATCCCACCACCCTGGGTTTCCATTGTCTGAACCCTCAGCCTCTGCCTCTGCTTCTTGCTCTCAGACTTGCCCTTCCCTTCTCATTTTGGGGCCTGTTATATACTCTTCATATGCCCCCTTCTCTCTGAGGTCTTCTTGGATTTGTACCCACCCACGTACCCCAATCGAGAGAGACCTCAGGCTCCTGATTTCTCACCTCTATCCTAAGAGACTGTGAGCCCCTAAGGGCAGGGTTTAGGTCACCTCTATGTTCCTACTGAGTGCTCCAAGAAAAGAAAATCATCTTGTCCTGCATCTCTACAGAGGGGGAGTCACTTCCAGAGCTTTGGATTTCAAACACCCTCCCCCCTGTCACTGCATCTTGTTTCTCAGCTACTATGAGGAAGACGCTTCTCTTTGGCGCCTCAGTTTCCTCCAGAATCTCCAAAGGACCCTCCTTTGGAGACCCTCCCAACACAAATCCCTGTCATATGTTGTCAGAAATTTCTCTAGGGAGCCTTTTGAGATTGAGCCCCT